AAAGCACATTTGACTTTCTATGGAGGGAAACGTTTCCTTCTTACCTTAATAATGATTTTCATCTCAAAGGCTTCTTTCAGAGTCTTTTGTGTGCAATGGGAATTCGGCTGCTGGATTTTCTGTTTCCAGGCATGTTTTGATGGAAGGTTGGAAGTCAGTATTTTGTTCATTTTGCTCAGGGATTTTTTTTCTCCAAGTCCTTCACTGCAAAGTCAATTTTTTTCCTCGCTGCTTTGTGTTTGCTGAAGCTGGGCTCCTTCTGTCCTTCGTTGGTGGTTTTGAGAAACAGTTCTGGACTTTCACTCTGTCAGTTCTCTGTCTCAGTCATGATGGTCTCCTCTGTATTTTGGATTTATTTCTTTACACCTGCAAAGTTAACTTTGAGAAATTGTCAATGTTTCAGTCATATTCTGTTCTGACCCAAGACAGCACTGTGATATCACAGCAAATGTTAACATTACAAGAAAGATCTTTTAGAAAATTCAATGACCTTGTTTGCAAGATTTCAGGAAAGAGGGACACTCACTGCTTCCTCTGATCTTTGTGGGTCGTTGGATCCCTTGCAATGGGAATTCATCTCCCAAGCAGACCATCTGGCTTTAGCTCCCGGCCAGCAGTGTGCATTTCTGTATTGGACTAAATGCCCCAATGTTCAGAAAAGCGTCCCATTTCCAGATCCATTAGATCTTGCTCGGGTTTCTTACTCACATCCCCCTGGTGAAGGGCACAAGCTGAAATCATGAGGGACACTAGTGATGGCCTGATTGCTGCTGATGGCAAGGGCAATGGGTCACAGAAATAATGATCACAGAGTGGTTGGGGTCAGAAGGACCCTCTGGAGATCATCCAGTCCAACCCCCTGCCAGAGCAGGGTCACCCAGAGCAGGTCCCACAGGAACGTGTCCAGGGGGGTTTGAATGTCTCCAGAGAAGGAGACTCCACCACCTCTCTGGGCAGCCTCTGCCAGGGCTCTGCCACCCTCACAGCAAAGAAGTTCCTCCTCATGTTCAGATGGAACTTTCTGTGTTTCAGTTTGTGCCCGTTCCCTCTTGTCCTGTCCCTGGGCACCACTGAGAAAAGCCTGTGGCCCCATCCTCCTGACACCCACCCTTTCAGTATTTATAGGTGTTGATCAGATCCCCCCTCAGTCTTCTCTTCTCCAGACTAAACAGACCCAAGTCCCTCAATCTTTCCTCGTAAGAGAGATGTTCCAGGCCCCTCATCATCTTTGTAGCCTCTGCTGTCCCCTCTCCAGCAGTTCCCTGTCCTTCTGGAACTGGGCAGTCCAGAGCTGGTCCCAGTGCTCCAGATGGGGCCTCTCCAGGGAGAGCAGAGGGGGAGGATGACCTCCCTCCACCTGCTGACCACAATGGCACCTGCCCCATCCCACCTGTACACACAGAACTGTCTGTGACCTTCACATTTGACAGGGGAAGTGCAGAGCCTGGTGCTGGAGCACGCCCTGGGGCACCCAGCGGTGCCCGTTTCCAGCGGCACTGGGACGTACACACACTCTCCAGTTGCCACTCCGGGCGGGTTGAGGGTGGGTGGCCGAGTCAGAGACAGAATTATCTGACACAATGCATCAAAAAGCCAATCTCTCTTTGTCTGTGAGTTGTTGTAGGAAGTGAAATAGAAGTGATTTGTCAAAGCAGGCCCTTTCCCTGTCAGGTTACCGTGCTCTTAGAGACTGCAACGGGAGTAATGAAATCTTAAGTCTTCCTCCAGAGTGAATTCAGCCTTTTCATAGCAATTTGTAGCATCTATGTCCTTCCTCTCCATTACACCTAATTATTTCGGCTAGCATCATTTTCACAAAAATAGGCATTCTAAACAACAGACAATGCACACAGACCCACTCTGCAGATGACTCCCCCAACGCCCAGGCAGGCGTATCATGCACAGTGGAGAATGGCTGCTGATACAAACACAGTGTGTTCTGTACCTTCCAGAAGAAACTGTTCAACATATTCTTCATTTCCATTTATATAGATATGAATATGAAATAACAATTCAAGAAGAGTACCAAAAACTAGATATTAGGCTGATTTAATGGAGTGGAAGAGAGGAACCAGAAGGGTTATTGTTCCCTCTCCGTAGCCAGGGAGAGAGAGGCCACTTTGCTCTGTTGGTCTCCTCCTCTCTGGAAGTTAGGGTAGATCATGGGAGACCCTGTCAAACACACAAACCATTTTCCCTTTCCCTGGCCCCTCATTGCACTAGTCCTGAACCTCATCATCACAAAAACAATTAAGTTTAAATTAAGTCAGGCACATCCTTTATCACATGGCATGTTATTGCTTTAGTGCCCATTTGAAAAGTTACTCACCGGTTTGTGATGCCTTTAGTAGAGTTTAAAGCTGCTGCTCCAGCTCACACTTCATGACCTCACAGAAGAGCAGGAGATCCTTAAACACCAGGTCCCCGCTGTGATGGGAACCAGCTCTGGTGCTGCACACACACCACACTCACAAATACCCTTAAATAGCAGCAAAAGCAGGGAAACTCTGCGGTGTGCAAGCTGCCTTATTTCCATACTTGCACCATAATCCCAGTGTCTGGGGTAATGTTTAGTCTTTATGCTCCCGTTTCAACCAGTGGCTATAAAAAAAATAGATACCATCACCCACACACAATAAATCTGCATTTTTTTGGCCATGGCTGTCTGCATCATTTATAATACAGCAGGTGCCTGCTGACATTCTGCATTCTGAGGATTTTGGAGAGAGGCAGCACTATTTATCAATTTAATCAGAGTTGAAGGTTTTCTTGTCAGTGTGTTTTTGAGGGTTTGCTTTGTTTTTTGTTTTTAAACAGGGTCTTTACTCAAAGTTTGCGTTACCTCAGTACAGCTTGCAACACAGAAACTCCATAAACACTAACCACAAGCAAGGCCTTACAGGGGAAATACCCCAAACACACCATTTGCACAGTAAGGGCAGGGAATCTTTACCATTTTGTTTGCTCTGTGGCACAAGGACAAGCCAAGAGCACAACCACATCCACAGCTTTGCAGCTGGTGTCACCAGAGACACCCCATCATTCCCATCTGTGAGAATTCAATCAGGGGCAAAGCCATCAGAGAGCCCACCCCTGTCCCACCAGAGACAGGGAAACTGCTCCTCCCGGCTCCAGCCGAGCTCAGCAAACATCACAGCACTCACCCTCAGGACACGGGATTTAAACTCTTCTTTGGGCTACAGGAGTGACGGGCGCATCGCTCACCTCTGCAGCGCTGGTCCTTCCCCTCAGGGCCTGAAGAAAATCATCTTCTAGTATCAGAGTGTTCCAAAACACTCCCCAAAAGCATAAAGGGTATTGAATCCTCATTCTCTATTGCAGAAACAGCAGTATAAGAGGCTTCTTATTCCATAGGAGAACAAAGATGTACAGAGATGCTCAAAAATCAATGGTTTGTGAAGAACTTTCATACCAGAGGATGGAAACTACTTAGGAAGTTAATAATTCAACATTCAGCCAAAACCCAGCTTCATTAATCACTTGGGACCAAGTCATGATTAATACCCTGGGTCGGAAGGGAGCCACAAGGACACAGAGTCTCAGCCCCGTCCCTGTGCAGGGCAAACCGACAGATAAATCAGATTTAGGAGCGTACGTGGAACACTAAGCTGCAGAGCTTCCCCCTCAGCACCAACCCTGGGCACCCAGGGGAGGCTCCTCTGGAAAAGTTATTTCTGAGGCACGTACAAAGGAAGATCAAGCAGTCATTGCACGGGTTTAACTCTGCATCTTACACACTCTTTTACTTGGGGGGTTACTTAAAAGTAACAAGTCAAATTATAAATACACTACAAAAAAATTACTCCTGACTATGATTCCTGCCATTGCTCACCTCGTTCCTTCACCCTAATTCCCTACCTTTGGGTAAGCAAGTCACAGCTCAGGAGAGATTCACCACGTGCCCAGCTCACCCCAGCTCCAGTGAAGGTATCTACACTTCTTATTTCATCCACGAGAGGAAAACGGAAACAGATTCTACATGACTCATCTCCAACACGTTTCCATTCCTTCCGAGAGCTGTTGTTGAGGATCTGACTCCAGGGCAGAGTCACTGACACAGCAGTCCATGCTTCCAAAATGAACTACACTGCCCTTTTTTCGCACCGCCGTTTTGCAGAGGGTGGAAGTGATTCGGGCTCAGCGTACACACTGACAGGCCGCTAGACAGGCTTCAAACACAACTCAGAATGACAGCACGGTCAACAAAGAACGGACTTAAATTTTGGTTTAGATCTTATTTCCCTTCAAATACAGTTGAACAACAGAGCTGGACACTGCACAGTCAATATTTCAGACGTAAAGTCTGCCATTCTCCTAAAACCATACACAGACTTGCACTGAACTCCCACGATGATGCTCAGTACACTTCCAAAAAGGAAATGAAACTACAGAAAAGAGCAGTTACCATGATTCCGCAGGGCAATTTCCTGCCCCCAGGTACTGCTGCTGCTCACTAAGTCCCAATTCCCCCGTGCTGGAATTAAAAGTACAATGGCAAGGATGAGCCTGAAACGGAGAATTTAGCATTTCTGGATTGTAGCTTATGGAAATTATTGTACCTCTTAGCTCAAAGCGAGCATGTTTCCTTTTAAAAGATCTGAGCGCACTGCAAAAAGTTTATTATGTAATAACAATTAAAAAAATAATCTAAAGCTTTACATACCAAAACCAAAGGCAAACCTGGAAACTTCAGCGGAGTCAGTGACGCTGTGACAAATCGATGTCTGGGACTAACACAGAGCCCAGGGACTTTGCTCTGGTCAGCATCACTGCGGGTGCCTACTGCATCGCAGGAAATAGTGCCATTACCTCAGCATCAACCCAACACTTCAGCCAAAAAAACATTATTCCTGTTCCCTGGCACTATTGCTTCAGAACAGGGAAGACTGGCAGAGGTACAAAAAGAAGGCACTACTAATTTCTATTGTAAATGACATTTTTGGATTATTGAATTAGGAAAATAAAGTCTCACAAAGAAATCGTGTTAGTGTAGAGTATTTATTACCTTTTACTAATCTGAAGTCAATAATTTTGATATGACTAAATTAATTCCAAAATAAACAGACATTTTTAAATACACATGAAGATGACAGGCTTTAATATGAGAGTATTTAGATGATCTGTGCTCTTAATCCACATGCAAGGTACAGCGATCAAATATTGTACATTTCCTTTCATTTTACATTGGTCCATAATAAAGCACAATTTCTGAGGGAGAAAGCAGGGAGGAAAGAAATCATATTTTCAAGTAGCCCTTTTATTAAAAAAGAGCATCAACTATATATTAAGCCAACGTGTTTCTCTCTGATTTTGATTTTACTTACAGTACACAGTTCTGCAAAATATACAGCTCACCAATGATACATAAAGTGTGGCCCTTTACTATGGGCAAAAAACAAAACAGAACAAAACCGAAGCCGTACAACAGAAAAGAATTCTACAGATTAGAAAAGTGGTATTTTAGAGCGTTATGTCACTTGAGAGCGCACCCAACGCTGGTAAGAAAGGACATGCACAACGGTTTTAAGAGGAGGCTGTCGCCAGCCCATGAGGGAGGTGGCCCATGGAGAGGAGGAGGTCCAAGGGAGGAGGAAAGCAGCGTCCCCTGTTATCTCTTGGGCCTGTCCATGTCGTCGATGGCCGCCAGCAGCTTCTGCCTCGCCTTTTTGTTGATGTGGGAACCCAGGCACACGTTCACCAGGTTGGTCAGCTGCTTGGTGGAGTACTCCTGCAAACACACACAGGTCACAGCACGGGAAACCAGACCATGGGGAAGGACAGGAACCCAGGACACACGGCACGGTGGGCTCTCAGCTGACAGAAAGGGTCAGCACACACGGGAGGTGTGAAGGGGCCGTGAAGTCAGGTCTGGAGAGTTTCCAGAGCTGAGGCAGAGGGAAAAACTGTACTTTGCTACATGGCAGGTTACAATGGAAAATCCTTACCACTTCAGTAGAGTTGGACTGAGTTCACAGAAAGTAACTCCGTGAATATGCACATATATAAATCAAATTTTAATGTATTTTCCACTCTTTGGGAGGTGTGATGGGACATATATATGCAAATGGGATAAGCTTTTAACACAAAAACATTTTTCTAAACAAACTGTGACAAAAAACGATGGTCTTTTTTACTCGGACTTCTTGTTTCCAATAAGCTTCTAAATACCTCTGTCTGCAGGGTCTCCAAAGCATGTTAATTTCAGTATGTGATAAAGGAGGAAAAAATGGCAAAAATGTAAAGACAAGAATTCTCAACACCTGTGAAAACAGCCCATTTGCCAGTACTACCTTTATATCTAACACGGCCCCAAACAGAGCTCCCACCAGCAGGTTTAAACGAGGTTTTTTCCATGTAGGTCACCAACCAACAGTTCACCATCACTTTTGTGGCTCCAGGTAAAACAAGGAAAACACTATTAAAGACATATTTCTTTCATCCATTCCTAGTGGGATTTGAAGTAATCCCAAAGTACAGATGTCAAAGCACTCCATTTTAAAAGAGTTTTCATCCCAGGAACAGGGAGCTCCAGCAGCACGTGCCTGTTACGTACGCAGCCCTGCTACCACCGGCAGTTACGCTCCGTGACAGCTCAGTGCTTTCAACACAGAGACTCAGCTCAGAGCAACGTCCACCCTGATTCACTGCTATTCAATGAAGACAAAGCAAGGAGTCACAGACATTGTGCCCTAAAACTTAGCTGTAGCCGTCCTAAAGGCAAAGGAAAATTTCAGTGTGATTTCCAGCGATACCGCTTGATGATGGAGTTTGCACTTTGGCATGTTCTGAGCAGCACACACATGTTTTCAACTCCAGTTCTCCAAAATTTCTGACGCAGTAGGTAGGTGTGACTGGCTTATTTATCCTTTATCAGATGTTGAATCAGTAGAAACACATACAAACTTCATATGATAATAAATATGAATATGGACATTCATACATACATATATCTTTATACTGCTTCCCATATAGATTTTATTATAATAACTGAATATATACATAGATATATGTTCATTTTTATGTATCATTATGTATATTCATTTTTAACACATAGAAGCATTGATCATTTATAGCTGTTAGCATGACTGTCATCACGGTGCCTTTTCCCAATAGGCAGTAAAAGAATGCAAATTTAACTCTTACCCTGTGCTCCTTTATCCAGCGCTCCATGTCATTTTCTGTTAGGTAGTAGGCTTTAATGTAGGTTTCCACAAATTCTTTATCTGGAATAGGCCTAATGTCTGTTAACTTTTCTAGCTTCATTAAGAACTGCTGAAAGTCCAGTTGCATCAAGGCACGTCCTTCATTGCTGCACTTCTTTACATTGGCATAACTAAGAAGAGAAACACAGTAGAAAGTAACACTTAAAAGGAAATAAAAATGAATCTTACTTCTCAAAGTCATTTAACTTAGTCCTCTGAACCTTGAGGAGGAAGATAATTATGGCTTTAAGTTAAAAACAGACAAGAACTCCTCTCAGGATGTCTGATGCAGAGTTTTATTTGCATTAGTACAGTATGTTTTAGCCCGTCTCATAGAACAGAACCACATCGTGCCCAGTGATACTAAAAACCCACACATGCCCCCAGGAAAAGCCACTGAAAATCCTACAGTAGGGAGTGCATGGGGTGAAGATAACCAGGGAAGAAATACAGAAATGTGTAATAGGAGCAGAAGACAGAACATATTCTATGATGAAAAGGAGTTGTGATGAGACCCCAGACATACGTAGCAAGAGGCACGAACTCAACAATAAACGCAGTGGATGAAAGGACTGCAATTCTCAGGTGACAATACCGACTGTGAAGAGACTGGGACACTGATTCAGAGGGAGGGATGAGCAATCAAAAATAAATTTTTGAAAATAAAATTGTTTTGAATGCTTCAGTAAAACACTGGATGTCATTCCTCAGCCATATCTGGATACAAGCCCACCCTCCTTAGACTTAATGCTGTGCATGACTCTGCCAAAAAACTACTGAGGACTGTGTTAAGCCTTGATGTTTGTAGGCTCCCCAAAAGCACAAGAGCTTACCAGTGCACTACAAAATGAGAACTTTTAATTCCATAAGATAGATCTTTCATTATAGCCGTATTTACCCCAAACCAAGTGCACTACAAAATGAGAACTTTTAATTCCACAAAATAGATCTTATCATTATAGATGTATTTACCCCAAACCAGGACTTTCCTGAACTACTCACCCTTCCACGAGAGTTCTGTTGGCCAAGCGGATGCAGTGCTCCCACAGGATGTTGGAGACGGGCAGCGGGACACGGACCCTCTTGGACACCTCGTTCAACCTCCTGTTAAATTCTTCAAATTCCTGATGAAACATGAAAGCTCATTACTCCTTTAGCATAAAAGGGATCACTCTCTATACAACCCTAGCAACAACAAAGAGTTAGGAACACACATGAAAGAGAATACTGAAAAGAAGAGAAAGCCAAGAGGGTTAATAAGCAGAGGCTGTAGAGACAAGCGTAACGTGTGAAGTACCAAGCACACCACTTTCCAGTACAGCACTCACAACTCTACCTCAGTCATTTTTTTTAATAAGGGAAATACTGCTCTGTTCCCCAGAGGTATAGTTCTCTGTGAAACTGATACCTCTGAAAATTAACAAAGTAGCTAATCCTTCAAATGCCATTTCCATTGCCTCACTCCCTCAACTCATCTCCAACTTTTCTAAAGTCAATATACAGCCACTGAAGAAAACCCAGTTGCACTCTCACAAAAACGAAAAAGCTACTGCAGAGACCAAACATTGTAAGTACAAACTGCTTTCCAAAAGCCACGGCAGCACAAAGAAGGGTAATCACAAAGATTCAGATTCAGTGCAATGACAGATCCTCTATCAGATTATCCCTCCTTTGTGGTATGTTTTTTTTTAAGCAGAGAACAGCTACAGATGTATAATCAAAACTGTTACTCAACACTGACGCATAACCTTTTCTGTGCTACACACTTCACATATCTTTAAAATAAAATTTTCAGTTTCTCTGCAACAATTAGTATAATTCTGCAAGAACTTCCTTCTAAAGACCTTTAGAAACATAAGTTAGGCATATATCAAAGGATGGCAGAGATGCTCCCTGTTGCTGGTCCTATATGCCATCAGACACAGCAACTGTACAACCACTGCTGCTGAAAGCACTGGAGAAGTTGGGTCAACAACTTCCCTTTTACCTTCCTTTTCAAACACTAACTTCTAAATATAGCAACTACAATCTGATAATGCATGGTCATTACCAATGCTGGTGTGACCTACAGCCCCTATGACACATCTCAAAGACAACTGCTCAAATTACACAGAACAGCAAACAGCCTCTGTTTAAAAGGCCACTATCACTGTCTCCGGCCACTGGATTCTCCTCAACGTTACTCCATTTACTACACATTTATCTACCACTCAGGACTGAGACATGAAACTCATTAAACTTCTGTGGTCACTTTCCCCCACCATGTAGTCAAAAAATCACTGGTAGCAATCTGCCAGCAGACAGAACAATGACAATTCTGGACAGACCTCCTTATAATAATTTACCATTTGCCAGGGTGCTGGATTGCTCTAACCATGCTACTTTAACACTTTTAGTGAAGCATTGCAGTAGGTTAATGTTTATAGAAACTCTAGCACACTGTTTCCCAGAAAGTATTCACCTTTAAAAGAGCATCAACATATATATTGTGCTGTGACATGATTTCCTTCACATCCCACTTCACATTAGCCATGAGAAGCAGCGTTTGTTCATAATCGATGGCTTTAGCAGCAACAATCCAATACACTGGTTTACGCAGTTCACTGGCAGTGGACACGGTCTGAAACAGAATATAGATGAAATTCAATTCAGCAAATTTCTGGCTAGTAAGAGCAATATATAACCAAGATGTACAGTATTTGCAACTCTCTGTACACGTTTCAAATCCTGTTGAAAGATCAGCTGTGAATTGCACAATTCTGACCTGAGAATAGAACTGCTGAAGAAAAGGCTTCTTGGCAGCTGGCATCACCGCGTCGAGATGAGGCTGAAGAAACTCAAACTGCTCCGCCAGAAATACCCTTTGAAAGCAAAGAAAATTTACTGTGAACTAAATGCACCATTTGGCACGTCTCTGTACAACGTTACTCTGCAGTTGACATATTTGGCAATAATGACATGCAAGCTTGGAAAATTTAGCCCTGAGAAGAGCCGTATTGGTTTCATGCCAGTGTATCAACAGGTATTCTCAACTCTGAGAGTTCTAAAATCTGATTGCATACAAGAAAATGCTTGAATAGAGAGACTAAAGATTGAATAGCAACGACTCATACTTCTATTTTACTCAGGATACACTGCAAAAGTCTTATCCAAAGTCTACTCAAGTCAATAGACAAGTGTCAGGTAATTTCCATGCTGCAGAGCAGTCAACATTAATATTACAATTCCAAAATAACATTCCTAATTACTTATGTACTAGTGAATATTTAAAAGACAGAATATGAGATCAAATTCTTTCTCAGGGGTAGCATTTGTTAACAAAAACATAACAAAGAAATGCATTCTTAACTAAGCATAAAGAAATACATTCCTAACTAAGCATAAATGGATGCAAAAGAAAATAAGCCCCTTTCAAAATACATTTTTTAAATTAACTTCTAATCTTTAAGTGTCATCTTGCGTGGGGAAAAAAATGAAATAAAATTCCTATCTGCCACCTACCATTATTCTGACCATATAAAAACCACTCTAAGTGCAGTGTTACTTGCTCACTATAACCTTCTCTTCCAGGTGCCCACTGCACAGCACCCTGCAATCCCAGCCAAACCAGGACGAACTAAACAGTCCTGCGTCTCAGCTGACACCATTTGAGTAAGTAATATAAAGTTTAAATGAACTATACAGACTAAATATTCCCATTAGCCTCTTTAAAATTAAACTTTTTTCCTGCTAGATTTGGCCTTGTGCTGTCACAAATTCCCGGAGCAGCTGCAGTAACATTTCACTGCCTGTGCCTGCAGGGGGTGGAGAGATGGTCAGGCCCCACCACCTTTAATGAATAAATTACCTCTAGCACTCATATTTAAAATCACATTGAGGGGCAGGTATTTTTGACCTCTCAAGAAGTTTTTGGCTTGTAATCACAATCTCTTAAAAAATCCATAGCTTCCAGTGACCACAAAATGCAGTGTACAGCAAATAACCTACAAGGATTCTGTGGCCACCACTCTCTCTGCCAAACCGTAGAGCGAATTGCCAGACGTCAAAACCACGAGATGGCTGAGATGTGGACTTGGCACCTTCTCCTTTCTCTCTTCAGCAGCTGTGAGAGTTCCTGTGGCATCAGCAGAGACCTCCTAAAACAAAGGATTAGACAACTGAAAACCCACAAAACCAGCAAGAACGTCTCCAGCTGAGCAGTTCCAGATGATAGGTAAGATGAAGGAATGTTTCTAACTCTGAGGAGTAATTTCAATCGAGCCTGAAGCAAAAGACAACCATAGCTTTTTCTGTTTGCACGGTGTTGTGTTCAAAGAGGTAAAAAAAATCATCACATCATGTAGATCACTATCTATATCAGGAAAAAAAAAAAAAGGTTGAGAACACACTTCTTGGCACACGTTAATGCCCAACAGAGGCTTTAGCCCAGCTGCCTACTGGAGATGGAGGGACTGATCTCCAACCAAAACGGGAACCAAACAAGGAGGTAAAGCAGAGGAATATTACTTGTGCGTGTGCTTACTGGCCAGGTGAGCTGTGGCTAACCTCAGGAAAATACAAATGATGCTTTTAAATAAGTTATCACCCCATGAAAATTTCTGTCCTGCAGACATCTTGATTGTAGAAAACAAGGAAATATTCACAGCACAGGAAAATAACCTGTGATGAGGACAGGTTATGCTAGTGCCCTGGTGCAAAATTAAAAACAAAAACATAACACACAACAGAAAAAAAAAAAAACAGGAAGGAAAAAAAAGACAGGAAAAAAAAAAAACAACTGGGAGGAGTGACATGAAATAGAATAGCTATTCACACGTTTTTCAGACAGTTTGGCCTAAGGAGAAATGGAGAGCAATGGGCACCAGAAACACTGATGTAACAAAGTGGTGGTCTAACTTTTTCCAAATAGAGGACTGAGACAAGGAGGAACATGCACTGTAGGCCTTGAAAAGCCAGGAGAAAAGGTACTGCCCAGATGATCAGGTGAAAAGGGGGAATAGCCAAAAAAAAAAAAAAAAAACAGGGAGGAAAAAAAAGACAGGAAAAAAAAAAAACAACTGGGAGGAGTGACATGAAATAGAATAGCTATTCACACGTTTTTCAGACAGTTTGGCCTAAGGAGAAATGGAGAGCAATGGGCACCAGAAACACTGATGTAACAAAGTGGTGGTCTAACTTTTTCCAAATAGAGGACTGAGACAAGGAGGAACATGCACTGTAGGCCTTGAAAAGCCAGGAGAAAAGGTACTGCCCAGATGATCAGGTGAAAAGGGGGAATAGCAGGGAGGTTATTCAGGTAGCAAAATATCTGACAGACCCATTGCTGTTACGCTGCAGCAATTACAGGTAGGGTGGGTGAAAACTGATTGTGTCAAAACGTGTAAGGACTTGGTGAGAAATTTAGGGATAAAGAATGAGCAGAAAGATCAAAACTGTGCTGCTATGGACAAAGGAGCACCAGAATTTGTTTACTGCTTGATGAAACCCAGGCCAAAAGTGACATTAAGAATATTAAGACAACTGGGAAGATAGTAGCATCCAAGCTGTTAAGGTTTGAGTGTGTCTGAGGTGTGGAGGAACAAAAAGATCACAAGTTCCACTTTCAGTATCTTGGGTTTTAGTTGAGAGTTGCCTCCTGTGACAGCCCAAGGCAACAGGGCAGTGGATTTGGTTAAGTCAGAAAGGCTCCTTCAGTTCTGTGTCTCTCAAGACGTCAAAGACAAACGTAAAAACGGGCAAGAGCAGGTGGGACAGAGCACAGACCAGGGTTCTCACTATCATGGGAGAGGAGACCTCTGAAAAAAAACAAACTTGTAACAGGTTCCAGAAGCGGAAAGCAGATAAATCAGGGAGCCCGGAAGGATCCCCACAGAAACTCTGACATTACAACCAAAGACTGCTGACTGATCAATACCACAAACACATCATTTGTACCGCTAACAGATCTCACAGAAATAGATCAATGAGCAGAAGATAAAACTTCTAAAAGAGGTGTCTGGTAAATGCTATCAGATACAGACAGAGGCACCGAGCATGGGAACGACTCTAAAGGCTACTCACATCACTACAGTGTTTGACAAGTGAATTTTCTATGTTCTGATCCGTATCCACGTTCAGCCAGATACATTTGCAATTAAATTGTCCATGTTATTTCTCAATACTGAAGTCTGTGTTGTGCCGAGTCTATCAGAATGGGTAAAAGCGAGCCAAAGGCTGAGTATTTGCTAGAACTCATGGAACCTCTCTCGGGCAGCTCTGGAGACACCCACCAGCACAGCTGCACCCACGCAGTAACGTCTAATCACCTAGGCAAAACGGCCGGTTCCCTAAAATATTCCCTGACCCAAAGACACCCTTGATTAACGGTCAAAATCCACTCTTTATCTGCCTTCTTTTTTGCCTTTTCACTTCATGTCATTCTCAAAGAAGCCAAAACAAAACCAGCAAAAAATTGGAAGCTTTGAAATGTTTACACCTGATAAATAACCAAACCCACAGCTCCCCCACCAATTCTCTGTTCTTTGGGGAGACAGTGAGCCACAGAGCTGGGGGAAGAGTATCAGGAGTAAAAATTTCAGCATCTTTCCTGTTCACAGTGTAAAACATTCATCTGAACTGCAGGAGGACTTGCTGCCAGTCATAAAGGACACTTGGCTTTGCTATGAGACGTTAGACGGGGAACAGAGAAGTGATTCAGCCACTGGTGAGCAGTGCTCTGCGGGACAGGGCCCCTCCAGAGAAGCAGGGGCAGTGATGCCTGAGGAGGGATGTGGGAAGAGCAGAGCACATGCTTAAATCACTGCAGCCTCTTCGCTCAGTGGCCGTGAGCCCGAAACCCAACTCTGTCTCTCAGTGGTCCAGCTGAACACCAGTAGAGTACTCCCCTCTCCAGTATGGAGAGAAAAAAAAGTGATAAAATTCCATTTATAGCGTAAGAGCAGCTTAAATTCATAAGATATTAATAAACCTCACAGAATGCCTTTCAGTTCATAGTACTGAGGTCAAATTTCTTCCTCCTTTCAAATCCTACCTGGAACATCACTATTAATTTCAATTGACACTACCATTATCTGTAACAGCATTGTTAAATGACTACAGAAGAAAAAGAAGTCCTGTTATTTTTCCAATTTACGGCCATAAATGACTTTTTTTTAATTATTTTGACTGATTAAAAAAAAAAAAGACTGTAAAGCACTGTCAGGAACTGTGACTACAAAGTTAAATTAATTCCATAACTTGCCATTTTTCCATAATCTTTAACTGACTCATTTGCAAAATCTTTCTAGAATTCATTTTTCCTTCTGAATACATTGCTTTTGAGAGGAATATCAATGTGACCAGCCTTACTCTGCTTTATAGAGGCCTGAGGTTATTAGCTATCTCATGCTCCCTCTACTGACTCTGTCAGAAGTGGTCCCAAGACCCTTTAAGAAGCTTCTCTCAAAGAACAGGTTAGGATTCGTTATAACACTTCAAGGAATTTATAAGGGATAAAGTAAAATTCTCTGGAATGCCAAATCCTCCTGAAAGTCAGAGAAGAGCATACGTCTTCTACTTCCTTCTAAGGCAGAAGCCTTAGAAAATAAACCCTCACTGCAGCATCCACAGTATTAATTACTGCGCAAGCCACTTATGATACTCTTAGGAAATGTCTCAATAATGGATACTACTTCTATTTATATTTTTAGGTGAATGATTTTAAGTACAGCTGACTGGTTTGCTATTCTTTTACTGAAGGAAAATGAGTCATCTGTTGTGTTGGTTTGGGTGTTTTTTTTAAATAAAACATCTCATTTAATAAGGATAATACTGGAAAGTCTACTCAATGAACCATAACACATTATAAGATTTAAATACGTAATTTTGTTGTTACGTCTAGCAAAAGCCATTAAAGTAGTTTTGTTGTATATTAGAAATGAGTGATATACACAGTAACGATGTCTACATCACGATATGCCATGAAACTAAGCCTTTGTCATTACAGATGCGGAACAGGAAGAGGGACAATGAAATGCAATTGCTAAGTTCCCCACACAGACCTCTAGCCCAGGTACTCACCAGATCGATGAGACTCTCCTGGATCCTGTTGAGCGTGGTGCGTAACCTGCTGCTGCTGAGGCCCAGGCCTGTTGACTCAAACTGGAAGAAACACGTTCTATTTAATCGGGAAAGGAAACCCCATCGGTTTAAACTTCAGAGTGATAAAGTGAAACTTCAGTTTGCAAACACTAGCTACAATTCACCTACATTAAAGTGTTAGCACATAATCACAACCACACAAAGTGAAAAGCAACTCAACAGAGGTGACGGCGCTCAGCACTGCGCTGGTAAGAAGGATGACCCAATACCTGCCATGAAGATGACAGCCCACCAAACAAGCGGTACCCTTTCTTGTTGTAACACTGCATTTGGGTGCAGGGCTCTCAATTTTGTCATTTGTGCGATGGGGTGCACCATTCCGGGCTCAATGTCCCACCGAGACTTGCATGAGCACCACACCTGAGCCAAGTGGTCTTGACTTCTCTCTCAAGCTATAAAGTATCTGTTAATTCCTTATTAGATATCTAACTTGCATATGTAAAATTATACCCATTGATTGTTATAAAACGGTCATTATTTCTTAATGCATATAAAGATCTAGCTGAGAAATGGGCCATCTTCATGTTCACGGCTTAGGGGTATTACGGTGCAGACGTTCAGTGGGATGAATCAACAGAGCTACACTGATTTCCCAGGAGATGCAATGAATTATACCAGCTGAGGCTCTGGTTTGACGTGCATAATTCATCTAGCTACTTATGTTCTACTGCAATTAAAAAAAACAAAGAATAAACTGACACAACAAAGGAAGTGGAAACGGGAGAGATAAGAAACACACGTTGACATCGAGACACCGGAGGTGTTTGGATACGGTTCTGGTATGTGATTCCCACCAAAAGGCACCTTACTCAGCAGCATTTAGAGCCCTGTTGTATGTTGTATTATTAGACTTCCTTTAATGCACTACATCAGGGAAGGAAGGGTTCAAGTTCATGTCATCTCATCCACTCCTTTTAAATGCAAAAAGGTATAATTTCGGTCCCCATTCACTGCATCTACTGTTTCTGACTTAAGATGTCCATCCGTTCCAACCCTCCTATATACTAAAAGACAATTTTCATCTGAGGTTCATCCCACGGGAAGTGCACTCTGATGAAACCTAGGAGACATGAATCACTGACCCAGTGTCCACACCTTTGTTTTTCCACAACTAAGCTTTTTTACAAAAATAATTTGCATTTTTCTTCACATTTTCACTGTAGAAATCTCAGTTCTGAACTGCCTTTGATTTTGCAGGAATATGGGTGAAAAAGAAATTAACTTTTTTTCCCTTTAAGAAACACACCCTTAATCCTGTTTTCCCTCCTTAATGTGATACAGCAGTTTTTCGAGACATGGCCACAAGTACTCCCAATTCAAGACTGGCTATTCTCCGTGTGAAGGTAAGAAGAAACAGAAAAAATACCCTGCTTAAAGGAAAAAAAAATATACTAAAAAACTATCTGCAATTTTCAGCCATTAAATCTCATTTTAAGAGATTTGCACCTACAGCATCAGAAGTACACATCCCACAGTCTGCCACTAATTCTTTCTCTTTCTGCCTTTCAATTACTGGTAACAATAGTTATCAGTAACTTTTACTTACTTATCCTACAATGATGTATTTCTTTCTAAAAAATGGCAATTTCTTGTTTGAAAAGTATCTGAGTGAAAAGGAATGTAAAAACAAAATTTCCATAAAACACTACATATCAAGAACTCCAGATTTAGCAGCGACCAGTTACAGCCTTGAGTCAGAACTGGGGAGCGATATTTAGGAGGGGGAGAAAACACAACAAAAAAACCCAAAATGATTGTCGCTCAGCATTTTCCCCGAGGACAGAAGCCCCTGTTTTCCCCCAGAACATGTCACTTGGCAGTACAAGTGTTTTGCTTCAGGGAAGCTATCTCCATATGCAGAATGGTAGGTATTGACACTCCACAGACCCATCACCTAGGAAGGTTAGTAAGCAGAGCATTCGACGATTTACAGAATAATTTTACCCCTCACCAATTCTACATCACCTCTTACAGTTTAAAAAAAAAATAAAATGAAGTGTTTTCCGCAAGAATGGCCTTAGGTTTACCAATTATTATGTCTTATCAAAAAAATTCAAACTCATCTCAGTTTTACTCCGCTAAGGAAGACTGTTCTGTGGCATGTTCATGAGCGTCTTACACTTTAGTGAACAGACACTAAATATAGGCCATTCCTTTTAATTTCATGTTAGGTCGCTCCATAACTTGAGATAAGGGGGCAGGGAAGCCTTAACTTGCATCCCACAAATGAAAAAGGTTTTGAAAGAGCAATTCTGGTTAAAATTGTGCACCTTTTGGCAGTGAAGAAAGCCAGCTGCTGAGTACAGAGGGTCCAAGAGGTCTGGAAAGAGCAATCAATGACTGAGCAGTGTGGCCAGTCACAAAACTCAACCTGTTTATTTTAAATCTTTGGTTTTCACAGAACTGGCAATGAGCTCCGGACAATTACTCACTCTCCTGATGTGTGTACTAACACAGGCAACACAAGCACAACATTCACAAAGCATTTTAACCACTTCTGGCAGTTCTATTACCAGCACACTTTTAGCAATCCCATGCTACTGTGTAAAACAAAACACCCTCAGTGGTGTAAATCACATACCATCACCCACCTCTACTTTCTAGAGGTTGACAAACACTACGGGGAGCGAGGACATTTAAGCAGCATTACAAGAGGGTTTATGGCATTCATAGACCCTTTGTAAGCATTATGTTCCCATGGAAAATCATCTGTCAAAACAAAACTTGGGCATGCTACAAAACATCAAATTCTGCCCCCGTCTGCTGTACCGTTTACCTGCCTAGCACTGTGCTGCTCTCTGCCAGCAGCAGGGAGGGAGGAACTCAGCACCAGCTTTAAAAACACAACACGGAGTGAAAAAAACCCAAATGAATGCAACACAATGTGAAGAGCAGAGCAGCTGACTAGCCCATGGAAATCAATTATCTTAACAAAAAACAAAACAAACAAAAAAATATCAAAACACACCCATCTTCTAAACACAAACAAATTGCAAATGCATTTGTCCTGCTCAAAACCATTCAGAACCGTATGTTGAGTCTGAAAATCCATTACAATTTGCCAACAGATGATGATGAGCTTGGAACCCCACAGCATTATTACTTGGGGAGTAATTTAGGGGCCAAGAGAGGAGAAAATTGTTTTCACATGCAGCTCCTCATAAATGCTTTAAGACAACTCTGTTGAAAGCTGATCTATGTTATGTGCAGACATTGCCAACAAACGTTTATTTCAAGACTACTCAGAAAAACCCTGTTTTCATTAATGCAATTAGTTTGACAGAATACTAGATCTCAAAACGTCTATTTCAAACCTCTTAAACCTTAGCTACTACTTAACTTTCATGGTCCCCTGCTCCTCTCCCTTTCGCTATTCTTATCTAAGTTAGAGAAATACACAAAGGAAAACTAAACCAACCCATAGTCTCCAGGCTCCAAACCATGAATGAAAATGGTTCTACCTACCGTGTCATTTCGGCCAAAGAATGTATAGACTGCGTACAGGTAGTAATCGAAGAGCTGGGACATGAAGTGGATCACGTCAAATGCAATTGGTTTCAGAATGTTCATCATCTGCATGTATTTCCCTTAAAAATGAAATACAGAAGATCAGTTTCCCCAGCATTAAGTGCTACAAAGACAGCACTGAGTCTGGCAAACTCAAAACCAGCTTTAGGAATTTTATTATTTAGCCCTGAATATCAATGAAGAACAATTTAGTACTATTTTAGAGATTAAGATGTTTAAAAAAAAAAAGCTAAGTATGATGACTAAGACACCACAAATGCCTCAAGACTTCTCCAAAAGTGGATGTTAATTTGTATCAAAATGCCTTCAACCATTCTGGGCCTTCTGGTACCAAACTCACAATATACAGCTTTCTGGATCCTCTACAAATGTCAGCTTCATTTAGCCATAAAATAGTAATGCCCCAAAATAGTCTCTAACAGACAATATATAAAGCCACTGCAGACTTTATGCAGTGGTGTGTGTTTAAATATGCCCATGTGGATATTTTTCAAGCAATAGAAAACCCCAGTGTAAAAATTATATGCATCCAACAGCTCTAGGAATAACGTGTTTCACACCAGCAACGCAGCATTTCCTGCTCTCCTTCCTCTTTATCTCTGCGTAAGAAACCCAAACAGTTTTAAGACATATGTCTGAAATGTTTCTAGAGGGACAGACTGACAGAAAAGGAGGATGCCGGGACCCTGGCACACCCAGGGAGAAGAATAATTCCTTGTCTTCCTTCCTATCATGAACAAACTGCAAAGCAGACTTAAAAAATTCTCTGTCTTCCAGAGGGAAAACCGACTGCACAGCCCAATGTTTGGGAAAGGCCAGCACCCCAGTGAGAGCAGCCCCCTCCACGTCTGCTAGCGGAACACTCTGTATGGCCACAGGCTGAGTTTCTCCGCTTACTCGGGGATAAACACATTTTTAAACTCACCCACAACCCTACACTCTCTGAGGGTGATGTGTCACATTCTGGACAGTTGGATTTCCAAGTATCTGTGCAGCTGGCATGAATATTCAAGGTAATCTCACAGGCAGCATCTCATGCTTTTCCAAGGGGCTCCACGCTGTGCACTGCCCAAGTCTGTCCCTATAAGAATCTCCCGGTGCCAAGAACATTTCTCTATTACTGCATCATTCAGCATCTCCACACAACACATGTTCCAAGAACATTTCCTCCCAGTTGCTCTCTCTAACAGGATGCCAACTTTTAACTTCTAGTGCGAGGAGGTAACAGTGCAGAAAACCCCTGTTTTGGTTGAAAAGGGGAGGAGGAGAACATTTCCAAACAGCACCCACAGGCCAAGCCCCTGGAAGCTCCCGGGAACACTGAACACAACATGGAGTGTCAACAGCTCCAAGGAGCCTGACTTTCCAGAGGGTCCCTGTTAATGGCTAAAGCTGCCGAACCTTTGACAGGTTTCTTCTGAACTATTATTTCCAACATATCTTTTACCCTTAAAGGCAGTAAATAGAGAGTACTCTCCATCAGACTAATCCGTACACAACTAAAGTAAATACAGAACCTCCTGAATAATACATACTTGAGTCTTAGTATATCTACAGTCATTAGTAAAATTCTTTCTTAGGGAGCCTCACAACTCCAAATACGCAGCTTCCTATGACATACATGCCACTTTGAAGGAAATAGAGAAAAGAGCATTGCAATTATATCATTTTGTTCATCCAGCCCCCCACGAAGCACAGAGCACACAGAAATAGTTCCAAACGGGTTATGAGCGCTGTTACACCCCTGTTCAGCCAGTCCTACTGAAAAATAAACCCGGGGGATGTGAAGGACAGAAACTGCAGACAAACAAGAGGCCCCAAAGCAAGAACGGATGGCCTTGGCTTTCCCTGGGAACAAGGATCCTGGCAGTGGGAAACACGAGGAGCAGGGGAACAGGGGGACTGAGAGAACTGAACTGGCCACTTCGGGGCACACTGAGAATGAGCTGGAAAAAACCTGAAAACAGCCACGCTGCAGGAGCAAAGGAACCAGGACGTGATAAAGGAATGGCCGTGAAATCACCAGGCTGGTGATCAGTGTAATAACCCGGGTGTGCAATAGGCAGTTGAGGCACGGGCTGTACCACTACAACTGAAAATCAGGAAATAAGAACAGGGAAAACAGACATCCAACTATTGATCTACTGCTTTAATTTGTAGGACTTCAGACCAAGTTTTGAAGAAAATAAGAAGTGACAGAAGCAGAAGATGGAGTCAATTAAGGTTTAGACAAAATATTAGTTTAACAATAGTGCACAGTAAACAAGTGAAACTAGAGTTCTTTAAATGAGTAAGGGTTTAATAAAAAGGACAGAATGGGGTGTGTTGAAAAGGGCAGTATCTGGAAAAGCTACTAGTGGAGTTCCCAGCAACTGGCCTCTTCTTTAATGTTTTCATTAATGACCTTGGCACAAAACCAGGAGTGTGATAATGGAAAAAAATAAGGAGGTACCATCAAAACAGAAAAGGATTGACACAAAATACAGGAGGAACTGGAAGACCTTGATGACTGCCGTAATAAAAATTGGATTAAATTCAGTAGTACAAAATGTAAAGCCATGCATTTGGGTGTCAATTAATTAAAAGCAGGCATCTTTCTGCTATAAACTAGCAGCTCATCCCTTGGAAAAAGCTGGGAAAGCTAAGGACCTGCTGGCTGTAGGAGCTCCTGGCAGATGGACTGAAGTGCCAGCACAGGGAAGCTGTGAGAAATCTCAGAGGTGCAAAAGGGAGGCAGGTTGTGAGCAGGAGGCTGCGATCCACCAGGGGCACGCACTGCACGGGACAAGTCAGCAGGGAAAGAACTGGCAACGGGGTAGGGACTTCAGCTTCTGGTGGATAAATACAGAGGATAGGAAAAAGCTTGGTACGTTTAGTTTAGCAAATCAAAGACTGAGAAGAACCAGGACTGCTTTCTGTAAAAACAGCGGGGCAGCGGGCATCGCAGAGCAAGAGGATCTGCTAAACCTCAACAGTTATTTTGGCATAAGATCAAGTGGCCAGAAAAGAGGTGGATAATTATTTTTATTTTTTAATTTTAACCATGAAGTTGATATGGTTTCTGGAATAGAATTTGTTAGATAGAGCGGTGGGAACAAAGCAGAACCATTCTTAAGCTGGAGCTCAAAACAAGTGTATTTGCAGGCAGGACTGTCTCCCTGCAGCAGGGGCTGCAGGACATCCCCTTCCAATGCCACCTTCCAAATAACACCATTTATCAGGCATTACAGAAACAATACAAAACACCCCCAATAGCAAAAATAGTGAAATTGCAATTCCAGAAGGGGGAAAAAGCATATATATGAGCTTTACAAACACTGTTTAAGTTTGGGGTTATGGCCAGAATCCACAAATATAAAGAGAACTTGTGTAAAACTGGAAAACTAGAACTACAGCTCCCCCCACCCTTACACTGTGTGAGGACAGGGACAAGACCCGATGGTCTATGTAAAAGTGCTGTGAGTTCTAGATTCAACCCCAACTTCTGTTAGAGCAAACCCTCGCTCTAGAAGGTACACACAAATCTCTCCAACCTAATGCATATATCAGCAGCGGAAAAGTCATGACAGAATATAATGTAGGTGCTCCAACAGAAAAAAACCCACTGAAAATGGTTTAGAAAATTAGTTTCTGATTTCTATGCTGCCCTCTAGGACAGCAGAGGTACTAACCAGGTGTGGGAGTAATCTCTTTTAAAAACAGCTTGCTCTGAAGTACCACTATTATTTCTAAGCACATAAACATTGAAGATAAACTTCATTTATATAACACACAGAGAATTCCTCTCTCTTCTGCCTGACATGATACATTCAGGTAGTTACTTTCCACAATCTATACATAAAGTCAGTAGTTTTATGCATTCAATATTTGAGACAAATAATCCACCATTATTGGTTAAAATCAATATATGCACGCAGATTAATTTTCAAAGTAAAAGCAACTCACAAGATATAATCAAATTTGTCTATTTAATTAAAAATATTTTGGTGTAGTGCTTTATTTCTATTTTATTAACATTTTCAAGGAGTGGAAATAGAGCCCAATGAGGTATACTTTTAAAAGCCTTAACATTCACTTAACGTATTTGTTATCAGTAGGTTTGCATTACAATAAAAAACACATATAAAAGTCCAATTGTTCTACGTACCAACAAGCCGAATTACATTCAGCGTGGTGTTTGTTAGGATGGGTGCATTCACTTTATTGAGGTTATAGTCTGATCTCTTTCTGCTCCTCAGAGTTTCACGAGAAACACTTTAAAGAAAATGAAACAAAATACCCCAAATGTGACTGCTGTTATATTGGAGGACACACAAATAAAATTTAGTATAGAAGAAATCCTTCCTCCCCCCTTCCTCCACATGACTGTACACCTTCCAGCACAGTGTAATACAATATATATACTCATTTATATGTATGTGTGTGTGTATATATATATCTCCTTAAAGACAAGGAGAACTAAAAATTCCAAATGACTGCCTTCAAGCTATGGAATTATTATTTTTCTTTAATCTGTAAAAGTTTCCTTTTGTTCTGCAAAAGCAGAAGCCCAAGCCTCCTTAATCTGCCAACAACTGCTTTTGCCACAGCAGCAGTTAGAGGCGCACAGGCCAGCAGCTGTAGAAGCACATGGGGTAACACCTAATGCTGGTGAATGTTCTCCCACGACCTGCCTCAGGGAGCCTTCCTCCTCCCCTCCAACCTGGCTCTCCTAAACTGCTTCCTGCAATAATGATGAGCAGCTTCCCCTTCCTCTCCCTTCCAGAGATCTAAGTGCTGAGCCTTTCTAAACGTGCAGGTAACATCAAGATTGTTTGATTATTATTCCATTGTGGTAGAGCATAGACTGAACAGAAAATGAACTAATTAGAGTGCTGAGATGAAAAGCATGTAAATGAGACCAGGGACTCACACAATCTACTTACCTTTTCACAGGGACATCTCCTGTCTGCTCATCCACGTAATCTCTTTTCAACTCTTCAGGAACATCGCTGTCGCTGTCATACTCTTGATATGCACTTTTTTCTTGTTCATCCGATTCATACTGTTAAAAAAAAAAATTAAAAAAAAAAATTTGAATGCCATTATTTTATCGTCACTCATTTAACGTAGCGTTTTGGTCACTTCTTGGCTTTTACCTCCATCAGGATACAAACAACTTTGCTGGCTGAAAGGCTACTGACAATGTTTATTAAAAATGCAGCAGGAAAATTATACAAAGCCCTTTGTAAGTGAATTTCTAAACAAACATCTATTCTCTGGTGTTGATGAAGAGTAAATATTTGCATCATCCTATTTCTCCCAGCTACTGATAATTTTTTTTTGCTTTCTTGTTGCTGTATCAAGTACCCACATATCTGAGCTTTCGTTATTTGGTTTATAGCCTGAAAAAACAGTAACAAAACCTCAAAATGTATCCATATGCTAACAGAGATAACAGATCACTTCCTAGGCAATGATATTACTCCGGTGCCTAGTACTGCATTTAACTGACCCCTGCGCTAAGACATTTTGCCATCACTGTCACACAAAACAGATCATCGTTTACTAAGAGCACAATTTGGTTTTGATTTTTTCCTGACCCGCTCTGTACGCACCCCGTTGGAAGCCAGCACGTCCTCGGTCTCATCGTCTTTGCTGTCGGCCTGAATTTCGAAGGGGTTTCCTCCGCTGCAGTACTGCTGGAACAGCGTCACGGCCGGGGGGATGGCGGAGGCAGCCTGCTTACTGGGAGACACCGACGGGGACCGCGACTGCTCCAGGAACTTGAACTCCTGCTCACAGAAAGGAAGGGCAACTTTGACCACCAGTGAGGCACTTCCAGCATTATTATGACTCCAGTTCCACAAAACCAGAGGATAACAACAAACATGGACAATTAACCCCACACGAAACTTTCTGCGCATTTAAACACCCTTCTCGTGCTGGCCCAGGTGAGCCTTGAGACTGGCAATCTTACAGTCACGACTCTGAGTGTGGGGCTACGACACGCACCGGATCTCCTGCATTCTGAAAGTATTCTCTGCCTAAAACTAGGTGAAAACCAAGCTGGAGGTTTTCCACATAAATTAGGAGATAAAACAAGACCTAAATTCTATGCAAAAATGTAGTTTTCTTTACAGAAGTTACCTAGTAATTTACTAAAGCTGATTTCTTAATATTTTATTTCTAAAAAGTTCTTTTCAACATTTATTATTTCTCAAATCCATTGCACATGAATTTTCTGATGACTGGGTGAGTGCACAGACTTTTGCAAACACATGGACTATGTAGGGTTTATAAGGTATGATATTAGACTTTTTTTTTCTAAAAATCTTGATTTATCTTAGTTGACATCATTTTTATCTATTAAACTCTAGCTATTGATCTTCGTAAATGGCAAAATGTACATTATGATTTATCTAAAGGTTTAAAGATCAAAGTGTACACAGTTAAAAGGGCTGCAATGTTAGATTTCTGTTTGTTTAAATGAACGTGTTACTTTCTGCCATTTTCTGCTGCTCCAGTCCCTTGAGTAGTCTGTATGGATTTATAATCCAATTCCTTTATTAAAACTATTAGTTCTTTTGCTACTGGATGCTGCTGAGGGTCCTCCTTCCCTTCCCCTCCGTGCTGTTACTGCCCAGCAGCCTCCTCCTAACTCTGCAGCAGCCGCACAAGTATCTTTTGCTGGAGACTGCCCACCTTTAGCTATTTTCGCACCGTGGTGGCAGCTTTAACTACAGGCACCCACTTTGTGTTGGGCAAAACAGGTGAAATTCACCCACCACATGCTGAACTCCTCACAAACCCCTTTAGGACAGCAGGGGAGCACGCCAATTGCTTGTTCTCAGTCCGACTTCACCACACAAGCATTAACCTTTTTTTCCCTTCCCATATGAAGCACGCGTGACCTGTGGTTCCAGAAACAGATGCCACAATTGGAACAAGCTATGAGTGCTCCTGTGATTGCTTTTAGACTCTCATCTTTTAGCTTCTTACTCTGAGATAAATCTTTTAGAAATGGAAAATTCACATATTAACCCCACAGTCAAACATGACAAGTAAAGGCTGACATTATGCTTACGTCTCCTGAAAACCTCCACCTGCCTGAAAAAGGAACGCTACTGTTTTAAAAGCTTCTGAACCTAAGTTTCCAATATCATTAAGTGAAATTCAGGGGGTTTTATCAGTCATTGAAAATATCTGCACAGTCTTTCACGTATCTTATTACTTCTCAGGACACCTGGACTCTGAGCTATTAAAGTATTACCACATTTGTGTGTGTAATTCATAGAACATACATGAAGCTGCAGAATACTAAAGCTTGATTTAACAGGACAAAGTTCCCAGGTCTCATTCTCCAAAAACATTCTTAATTCTTCAAGTCGGGTTCTGAAATACAACAAATGAATACTCTTAATTGGCAGCAAATCATGAAGCAGACAATTATTTAACTTACGCAGTGAAAAACACCTTCAAAAAACCATAAAAATTCACATTTGAAAACAGGTATTTAATTTGTTCTTTCAACAGACAGGCCATCTCTAGGCTTTGGCTACTAACACAATGTGTGTTCTGTGACACCTCTGGAGAAATTCTCTAAATATATCAATCTCCAAAATTTGGAAACAAATTTTTTTGTCAAAACCATTAAAAAGTGTAGAGGAACGCCTGTGATTATGCAGTAACACTTGACTCTTCTTCCTCTCCGTGACCTGCAGAGAGCAATATACCACATAAAGCTCTCCAGGAGCAGCACAGCAGCTCTGAGAGCCCACCCAGAGATGCTGCTCCCAACAGAGACCGCAGCCAGCGGGCAGCAAAGGCAAGTGGTAGGAACCAACGTTCTACAGACACCTCGGCTTCTCAGAGAAGAAGAAACCTCAGTGGCTGTTCATCTCCTGGGCTATGTTTTTCTTCATGGCTTAACTTTACCTTGGTACTAATATAGACAACGTATTAGGGAAATGTAAGGAAGCCACTACATCTCTGCGTTGTCTCTGTTATGTTTTTAATCACTAGAAAAGCCTCTGTTCAGCGATAAGCAGAAATACCTTTATCAAAGAAAATCTTTTTTGCCAGATAATCAGAAACTCATATAGAAACAGGCAGCCATGAGTGCTTATTGAGGTCATGGTGCTGCACCTTTGCTTCTGAATATATAGTATATTAGTATATTGGTTTGCTTAACTTGGTACATTATTCACTGAGTTTCTAATTAGGCAGTAAAATATTCCAGAAATACCACTACTTCAATAATGAACTATAATCACCAGGACTATTACAATTTTCTTGCCTCAGCGAGACGAGCAATGTGTTGAATTCTGACTACAGTTTGCCATATCTATTGAACTGCAGCAGCTAAGGGCAAAGGGCCTCCGGGCGCTCTTCTGGAGGCACGGAGCACCCGCAGCCTGCGGGTCTGGCAGCAAAGCCAGCAGGAACACCGGGGAGAGGTGCTGGGAACAGCAGCACTACAAACTAAAATTCCTTGAAGGGAAGACTAAGAAGAAAAAGTCACAGAATAGCATAAAAATCATTTAAACACTACAGAACACCAGTTTGGTGTCATTTCAAAGCTGAAATCCAGGCACTGACACTTCCCCAGTGTCCGAGCCCAGGCAGCAGCTCACACGAAGATCCGATGTGTCTGTTCTCTGAGCAGCTCTGGGGATCAGACACCCCCTTGACAGACCCCCAGAACAAACACCCCCTCACCTCACTGACGGTCTCTGCCAAAAGCCCATTCTCATTGTTCAAAATAATCAACTTTTACCCAAAAAGGCCTCCCGTATGCTCTACTATTACATATTCAGCTCTGTGTCAGCCTCAGTGCAGGAACATGATGCAGTGGAATTCCTCTGGAAAGCATCGAAAGTTAAACCCAACAAAAGCAAATCCATGAGATTCATCCACTGCACATACAGTAGTCTCACCTGTGGTATGTCTTGAAATAGTTAACACTTTGTTTTCTGATAGATTCTTGCAAAACTTCAGACTTACTGCCACAAAATTCTTCTCCAACTTGCATTAGCCTGTAACAATAAAACAGAGTTTAGGAACATTCATTGACTTATTAGTACTGCTGTTCCAACCTGAGTGACAGGCCTCAGTCACTGCCAGGAGCACACACGTGTCTCCGTTAAAGCAGAGCACTGAAGTTCAGCTGCAAACACTTCACTCATTCCACACAAGTCCATGTCTCATTTCTCTCCAAATCCCATCATAATGTCCCAGACATACAAAGAGCCATACACAAAATAAACATATATTTGAGGTCCCACTATGCAGGGCACACTGTACAGCTCAGTCTGGATCCACCATTTTATTACCAAAACAGAAGCACATAATACTGTACACATAGCGGTATCACAACACTCTACTGCTCTCGACTGAGAGCCCCTTTAAAAGCTGTTAGAAACATCAAAAAGGTCACATCTGAAATCTTAACAGTGGCCAATACTGAAATCATACCCCACTTAAGCACTACTTGAGCAGCAAACCCCTTTATGCCACCTCTCCTGAGTATGTCCTTGGAGCAGGCAGCGACAGAGACTGGCACTCACTCCGAGACTCCTACATAAAAAAGTGCTCTTCAAACTATCAGTAGATAGGAACAAAGTCGGCATCAGAACGTAAATATCAGCCTTAATTAACTGTGCTGTGTTATCAGAGCTGAAGTTTGTGCACATGTGTTTAAGCAGCCTCAGGAGCACACCAGCGTACCTGCTGATAACGTCCAGCACAAATATGAAGTCGTCATACTTGAAGTTAGACAGATCTGTTCCCAGGAGATATGTTTTCACTTTCAGTTGAACATCCTACAAAACACAAACACGTTTTTGTGTACTTAATACACTAAAGACAAAAAGGTGAAGGCTCAGCTGCCTGGTTCAGTTGCACTTTTTGCTTTGTTTACACTTGTAACTTCGAGATTCACAGTAGAACTCGATTTTCTGTAACATGAATGATTTCTCACTGACTTTCTAAAGTAATATGATAATCAGTTTCTTTAATGCCCTATAACACAAGATCAATCCCAGACGCTTTATTGTCACTGCAGAAACAGAGCTTTGGATTACGATTCAGCCACATAAAAGGTTTAGTTTTTCCATCACACATTTGGGGTCTCGCTGCACATCAAACTGACCCAGCAAGCGGACCAGGAACACATGAACCCAGGCAGGTTGACAAGACTTCAGGTTCTCCATGGCTATGGTTACACCAGAAACACAAAGCAGTACGACTGTGCTAACAGAGAGAAGCACAAGAGAGGAAAATGAAGCGTGGGGCAGCACACAGGCTGGAAGAAGCTGGATCAGGCTGAAAGTCACGTTACTATGGTTTGGCATCTGAGCGAGTTTGTAAGCTCAGCCACCAAGCAGTATCTGAAGCACAGAAATTAGATTGTCACGGGCTTGATAAATCTCTCCAGAGATATTTTTTTAAGAAGCTCAATATAAATATAACTTTAATTGATACAGGGAGGAGGCGTGAATATTTAGGGGAAAAAAAAAAAAATATCAAATCCCATACCTGCCATATCCGTGAAAGCCCATGCTCCAATTTCTTTTTGACATAGCTGCGGTCAAAAGTGTTCTCTTCAGTTCCCATGACATTGCTGCCATCTGAAACTGAAGGTGAAAGGTGTTGTAGGTATTTCCCAAAGCCTTGAAATGTATCCTAGTTTTCTACCCATAATGAAACTTCTGCCTTAGCCTTTATCATATTATCCAACAAAAAAAATCCTGTTGTGAAAGTATTTTCTATTCCAGTTCGCTCTGCAGCCTCAAACTAGGCTAATTTTCAGACCATAAACAAGCAGAATATTTAATGATCTAAAGCAGACACACCTCTTTCCTCAGAAACACAGAAGGGGAATTATTTACAAGTTATGGAAAGTACATTTTAACATCTGTAACAGGCATTAATAATCACAGATACTTGACACACAATCCAGATGAAGTGCAACCTCCTTTCCATAATCCACGTAGGACTTGTGTTGGATAAGCTTCACTATTAAAATAGAAAGAGCGATGTAATTCCCCTCTTCTACAGCTGGGTTTGTGACCCAGGACCAAGGGCCCATCGAAGGTACTGCTGAGATTAACTGGTGTAAGGAGAGAAAATACCGGGACAGCTCTGAGCTCTCCGAATGATAAAATCCAGATACACACGCAACAGTTGAGGCTGCTCCTTCCATTGCCCCAGTCCCCAGGGTTTCCCTGCAGGAACCAGGTTGGCATCCCCTCCTGAACTGCCCCCGGGTCCCTGGGACACTCCTGCCCTTCCTACAGCAACTCTGCTCTGGCTTCAGCACATACCACTGCATCAATGCACATGGAATGAGACTTCTGTGTACAGGCTTAATAATTACTACAGCATGAGCAGCGACTTCTAGAAAAACCTGACATTTGGCAGATATTTATAGTCCCTCTGAAATTAAATTATACTTGTGAAATTCCCTTTTGTGGGTTTTAATACTGCTGAGGTATTTGGAAAAGCGATTCAGCAGCTCAAACGCATTCTAGTTGTGCCTCACAGCTAAACCACAGCGTCTCCAGGAGGTAAACCTGAGCGGCAGAAGATTTGGGGGATTAGCAGCAAACACGCTTAAAAAGCAATGCATTTTAAATTCCTCATGTCCCTGAATATAGCACTTTATTAGGCTTAATGGTTCCTTTAAAAGATTTTGTAGTGCAAATGGTTTTCTTTCTTCAGGATATCAGAAGCAACCATAGTAAAAGGAACTATTTTTAAACTTGCATCTGGAGCTGAGCTGTGGAGCTGTGATAGTACTTCCATGCAATAAACTCTTTATTATACCTGCTTCATTCTACACATGCAAAGATCACAACAAAATGAAAACAAGAGAAGGAAATACCATTAACTGAAGTTATTGCAAATTTAAGACTGATATTATCGAGAGTGGGCAATTCACTCAAAACTTCAAAATCTTTCTTCACATGGTACATCTAAAAATTAAATATTCAAACCCTGATTTTTAATTCTGATACACTTTAATTTTTAATTCTGATACAGAAAAGCTTTCATCTGAAATAACAATTTCAATAAATCATTTTTTTTCATCCTTAAGGTTCCATACAATATGGGAATGACACTCTGAAGAAAATACTTTCATTAATTTTTCAAATTTAAAGTAGGAAGACAATGCTAATTAGCATAGATTTCATTCTTTTTAAGACTTAAAATCTGTAATAAATATGAGCTTTGAAAGAAATGTTGGATTTCAACTGCACTGTAGGAAGCACAGAGTGCAAAGTTCTTTACTTCCATTTTTTTTCCCTCTTTCTACTTACTGTCTAACTTTAGCAGCCATCCTATAGTCCTTACCCTTTGACAGGAGCCTCCTCTTCACTAAGAAAAGAGGAAATTTATCTGATTCAAATAAATACAAGTTTTGCATAAATCTTACTACTGTAAATTTCACCCTGTGCCAAACACAAGCATCTTGGGTTAGTGGGGAATAAAGTCATTTTAAGACATTTTATATTCATTTAGAACACATCCAGTGTTCTAAATGGACTTAGGAGGACTTAGCCAAGAGACAAAGGTTTTGTGCTTCTGCCCTAGAAACACAAACTGGGACAATAAAAGAAAACCAAAATTCTAGTTTAAGGTGAAACGTTTGCCTTTTCCTGCAAGGGTATCAAAGGAACTGTGACCGTATCTCACCACGGATTCATTGGCACAGATGACATGCAACATTCAGGAAATTGGATTTCCTGAAAATCACGACGACAGATTTACACCAGACTGGTTCCCTGTTGTTTCAGTCACTATTCCCAGTACATAATCCACTATCTACTAAGCTTAATATGCAGTGAAAAGTTCACCATTGATCAAAAACATCTGAAATTTCACAGTGGTCCTATATTAAAGGGAAAAATCTTCAGATTTTGTAGTCATCTACCACAGCTGACTCCCAACTCAACAATAATCACTGTTTAAAATGAAACTATTTCTATCTGTAATAACAGCACATACATGTATTCACTAAAATATTAACTTTACACCAATTAACATTACACTACAGAACTCTGTGAGTGTTCAAGCCCTTACTGCACACTAGAGGCAATAATGCTGAAGGCACCGGGCCAGCACACCGAGGTACCCACACGCAGAGGAACAACTCAAGCATCAGAAGAGTTGTTTCCCAGTATCAGAAGTTCTCTTTCCAGAACAGCTCCTCACCAGAGGACCCGGCTGCCTCCTCCTCCTCCTGCTCGTGACTCCCGTGCCACTGCATGGTGCGGTAGTAGCTGAGCATCACCTCCCACAGCGCTTTGCAGAGGTCGGCGAGGCAGGGGATGTAGCTGTCTGACGTGATGTGCTGCAGAGAAACACAGTCATGTGCTTACTGTCTTCAGAGGCAAAACAAACCACAAAAAATCCTCCATACTCATACTGATATACATCAGTTTCCTTTCCAAAAGTATCTGAGAGTCGATAAATGCCTGTTTTGAGTCAACTAATCAAATGCTGACAAAAAGTGTACCTGTTACTGCATTTTATTTTTTTTTTCCCTTTTTTTCTTTTTTTCCAATTGGCCTGTATATGAATCAACTCTTACAATTATGGAAAAGCAAGGCAGATACAGGAGTAACACCATATGGTTTCATGGTCAGCACATCTCACCAGGGCAGGTGGTGGAACTGGATGACCTTTAAGGTCCCGTCCAACCCAAACCATGCTGTGAGTCCGTGATTCTGCGCAGGTGCTGCACCAGTTCAGTGCTAGAGATACCTGTACCTCAGCAGCGCACAGAACCCATCCTGGCTGATGCCCCAGTGCATGGAATGCCATACAGAGACATGCAGAATCCCAGAATCCCAGGCTGGAAGTGTCTGAGCAGCAGATATACCAGAATACCTTCCTTCCACATGGCAAGCCAGCTCTGGCCATGTGGTTACCGCATGGGAACCCAAAAATGGATATTCAGCGTGATGGAAAAGCTTTGGCATTGCAGTTACAACCCTGGCTTTCTGAACACCCGGTGTCCTTCCATGGCAGGAACTGCAACAAAGCCTTGGTAAGCTCCAGAATTACATTTGTTGGGTAACAAACACTAGACTGGACAGATTTCTTTGCAAATGTAGACACCTCACTTACATTGGTCCTATTTTTCGGCTTTCGGGTAGAAAAATCATAAACTACATGTCTTTACCTTGTATTTAATCTCATTCTTTTGCTTTCTGAGCTGAAATGATGCTCCTGGCAGAAGCGCACGCTGCCCAAGCCATGTTCTCCTACACTCACAAGAACTATTCGTCAGCATTAACAGATGTCACTAGCAAAAGTATCTGGAGGCCTCACATTAATCCTTATGTCTTTTCAGTTTGCCTGGGTTTCTAAAAATGAACTATTATTCTGGTTCTGTTCCCTATCAAACCAGAACCGCCTCAAGGATATAAATAAGGCATTCTGGACACACCAAGAAAAAGTGAAAAAGTCAAGTTCTTGGTGCATAAAAAAATAACCATTGAGAATACTACTTACTTTTCTAAAACACCCTTTAATTGGAGAACTGATATACATTACTGACTGCATTATCCAGACACTTTAATCTCAGATACCATAGACTCTTCTAATGTTGGAACAAAATAGGGTAATAAATTTATCATTTAAACGATAAATTGCCCTGCCATTTCAACAGTTGTTTCAGCAATTTTCTCTGCCAACTCATCAGAAAATGTTACTGTATTTCAGGGCTTTTAGTAGCTATAAAATCTAAACTTTGGTTATGCACAACAGTGTATTTGAAGAGATATTGGCTTCCAGGTGGCCAGGAAGAAAAGATAACTTATTAATACCAAGATAATTCCATTTAGACTAAGGAAATAAAGAACAGAATTTCTGTGAACTTATGCTAGAACGAAAAAAATCAAATTGTGAAGATGCAGCTGCCAAACTCTCCCCTGCTCCAGCAGTACTCAAAAGGAGAAAGGATAGAAGAGTTAGAGCAAGGCCTATCGCTAGGGGAAGAGATGCTCAACAAGGAAACAGGGACTCAGAGTGCACAGGCATACAACTTACATGAATGGGTAACAATCACTGAAACATTATTCTTTTTAAAAAACCACATTATTATAAAATCCAGTATCTGACTTCCAGAAAAGAAACAAACAAACAAAAAAATTAAAACAAAGAAAAAAAAAACCAGAATCCTCCACCACCCCTGTCAAATGGAAACAAGCTAAATGAGTTCATTTAGAAAGATTTTTAGAAACACACAACAGGAGGTGTGTCCAAAAAGGAAGACTTTAATTTTGTATGACTTCCACTCTTTAATTAGAGTAAGCACTCTATAACCACTTAGATGTTAAGAGCATCCTGGCTTCACAGTGGAGCCAGACTGAAGAGGCTTCAGAGTAACGGGAAGACTCCAAGGAAGTTAACATCTTTACAAGAATCCTTGTTTAAATTAAGTATTATAGAAATTGTGAATGCTGTCAACATGCACTGAAATAAAGTTCAAAGCTAACAGTGATTCCGGCAACCAGCATATTACACTGAGGACAAGTTCTGAAATCTTGATCTCCTGCTTGTCCATTTATTTAGATGGTGTGTACACTAACTGCAAACTGCTAAGATTTAGTGCAATCAAAATCAGCATTAAGGTGCAAATAACCGATCTCCCAATTAGCCGATGAGTTGTATCAAGAAACTATAGTAGCTGCAGGGTTAATTTAATAACTGAGTCCCTACTTACATAAGGCACACTTACAACAGTGGAAAAAATTAAAAACCAGACATATAGGCAAGTATGACATACTGTGCAGAGGTCTTTGTACTGTAACTTCTGAAACTTGGTGTCGGTGTTCCCCGCACACAGCTCCACGTAGCCAAGGACTACCTGGAACACGGTGTTGTGGATGGCCTGGGTGAAGTGCATATGTAACTGGTCCATTGCTGTCTGAAAGAGAAGGAGCAACACAAAATCAAAGCGTAAGATTCAATCTGTCACGTGCCATGGTCTTTTAATCTTTTTCAGTGCCGAGCACAGCAGACTGTAAGCACGGCCTCCAATCTGTGTTCTGAAATTACCTGATGTAGCACCGGGCAATGTTACAATGTGGTGATGTAAAAGAGTTCAGGTATTACCAGTAAAATCAGTTTCCCCAGCCACTCTCCCTCTGTAACTCGCCAGGGTTTTGACATTGTCACTAGTAAATACTAATTTTATGCATTTATAATCTATTTGATTATAGAATTGATTCATTCATTCATTTACCCTCCCAATCACTGATTAATGTCTCAAAAAGCAATGAGTTGAGATCAGCGCTGTTTTTCCCACTGGAAACACTTCCAATGAAAATAAAAATATTTCCTTTGCAATCAATAAATTTAAAACCGAAATTACAGTGTCTTCAGTCAATCCATTTGAGGAACATAAAGTAGGATTAAGTGTTACAGAAAGGCATGCACATCACATCAATAAACTTCTTACAAAAACCCTCTTTGCAATAAAACCAAAATATGACATTGGTTTAACAAAACCTACTTTCTCCAGAAAAGAAAATAAATTAGTCCAGGTACTAAACGCTGCTGACTATATAAGTTTTGCCATAATCAGGCCCAAGTTTCAAGTCAGGCTGTTTCCCTGATCCTTTGTTAATAAACTGCACATCACATTAGTCCATTTCAGACACTGAATTTTCCCACTGTTTCAAGATATGCTAATGATGGGTACATATGGTATAGAAGAATTGATTAAGATATTGCTTGAAATGCCAGAATGAAGTTATCAGATCATGCACTTGAAAGTGGTGGGTTTCACTACTTGCTATTTGACACTCAGCTACTGACTGAGAACTCAATTACGCCCATATGAAATGAACAAGCAATTCTGCTTCAATCCCTATTGCAAATAACCCATCTTCTGCAGCCACTCCTACCCTGAATCAGTCCAAGAAAATGGAATGACAAATGAAAACATGAGAAGTGCTGAAGACACTGAGAGTCCTTTCCATTTTGCTTAATGAGGAGGGGTCAAAATGGGAGATATTTCAATAATGATGCAACTAAATTCTTTTCAGGACAAATTCAAAATACATACTTTAATAGTTATAAAAAGAATGGAATTACTGTTAAATTATGTGAGCATTACAAGTCTTTGTACACTCAGCAAGGTTGAGCAGTACTAGGAGAGTTAAGTTTCCACCCGAGTACCCAAAGCCCCAGCTGTTCCACCACCCAAAGCCCCAGCTGTTCCACCACCGCTCCTTGTGACGTGCTCAGGAGACCAGCACTAACCTGGGTTTTCCCAAGCAGCCTGTAGGCCTGCTGAACCTTCGTGTAATGACTGATATCAAAGTTCTTACAGATTTTGGAGAGGGCTACATCTAGTTGTTCCTATATAAATGAAGGGAAAAAAGTGTGTTAAACACTTAATAAAGCCAGGCCAACTAATACATTATTTAAACAACAGCAAGCGAGGAAAAGATGCTTATTTAAACAATCTAATAATTATGCTTGTACAATGGCCACGATTGTACATTACTGGACTATTTTGGAGTGCTCAAATGTTACTTTTGCAGCCTGCAGTACTTCAGTCTGAAACTTTTGCCAGCCACAGTCCCACCATTTCCAAGAACAAGCACAGTAACAAATACTTCACTGAAGTCAAATCCAAAATGAGACTGTGGTCTCCTGTGCAGCTTGTACAAACCTACCAGCATGTGCTAACCTACTTCCCTACTTCCCACTGCTATTTCGGAGGAATATAAAGAATCATAGAATGGTCCAGGCCAGAAGGGACCTCCAAAGGCCATCTAGTCTGACCCCCCCGCAGTCAGCAGGGACACCCCCAACTAGACCAGGTTGCCCAGGGCCTCATCGAGCCGCACCTTGATTATCCCCAGGGATGGGGCCTCAACCACCTCCCTGGGCAACCTGTTCCAGTGCTCCACCCCCCTCACAGTAAAGAACTTTCTCCTCATCTCCAATCTAAATCTGCTCCCCTCCAGCTTGAAGCCATTTCCCCTCGTCCTGTCACTACAGGCCTTTGCAAACAGGCTCTCCCCAGCCTTCCTGTAGCCCCCTCAGGTACTGGAAGGCTGCTATTAGGTCTCCCCGGAGCTTCCTCTTCTCCAGGCTGAACAACCCCAGCTCCCTCAGCCTGTCCTGCACAGCAGTTCATGGACTGGAAATCACCGCACATCTTCACCGTACCAGGAGCACTCCTTGCTGCAGCACTGCAAATGTTGCCAGTATATTTTATTTGGCTGCTTCAGCACTTCCAGCGGGCACAATTAGGGAGCTGGGCTCCTAAGTCTGACAGCGTGTTACAGAGCATCGGAGCTGACTGCAGCACAAAAGGCTAAACAAATAGCAATGAGTACAGCACTCCACAGACTGTACTGGAAAGAAGTGTGCATGCTCTGTCACTGCCAGTAACGCTGCATTAGAAAGCTCTAGTACCTAGAGGTTAAATACTGTCTTATACCAAACATCAATATTGCAGTTCTTACCTCTATTTGTTCCAAGGTATCTTGCAGCTTTGAATTCAACTCACTATTAACGAAAGAAAACAATGTTTAAAATCAAACTACTGATCATAGTAACATTTCACACCAAGTTTCTTGTTCCCAAAAACATATTTGTCTGTTACCGAGCCACAATGTAGTAATTTATCAAAAATCTGCTGTTGGTGTGTCTGACCAGCACCGCCACACTGCTGTTATTCCCAAAAGACACCTAATGCAGGCAGCTGCAGTATCACTAGCACTCCCAGTTCAAGTGCAGCAGCACGTTATCCTAGGTTCACAATGCAGCGGTGTTAAGAGGGCCCAGGCAAGACCCCATCCTGCCAGGATTCTCCCAAGGATTCCAAGACATTCCCAACCCTTTGCAATCTGACTTCAGAACAGAGAGGGGCTTATTTCCAGGTACAATTTCTAACTCCATACACTTTTTTGGTGCATCCTCAGCTCCTGAAACAGCTGTACCTCAACAGCAGGACCTAAACTGACATCAAGGATTATGGGTCATCACTCTGAGGTGACAAAGTATACATTTAGAGGACAGAGGGAGGCAAAGGATGTGTTTTCATACATTTTGGTCCTTCTAAATCAGAGTACATACTGACAAATCAAACAATGTCAGAATTTTACCCACAAATTTAAAATTCTAATTAAAAATAACATAAACAGAAAAATCTAGTTATTCTAATGGTCTTCTTAGTGACTGAAACATCAAAATTCACTCCATTTTACTCCTTTATTGTTATATGTATTACGACTTTGAACTTAATGTTTACTCAATTTTTTTTATTTTATTTTTCTTTTACTTTCTAAAAAGCAATGGAAACATCAGGTCTTTTTAAGTGAGGAACTGCAGACATTCAAATTAGTTCCGGTTTGAAAGCACTTTCTCCATGACAGCATGAAGCTCTGCACTCACTAACTTCATTGCCAAGAAGCAGGGTAAGTCACCCTCCACAAGCCATCTTGCTGTAGGTAAATTAATTCCAGAATATAAACTTGCTTATTAAAAAATGAGCTCAAGTATCTCCTGCCCGCAGGCTGTAGCACAGTTATATATATATATGTATAACTCAGTATTTGTTGAAATGTTCCCTGCCAACAGTCCCAAAACAAGGAGAGAGTCCAAACCCAGGCTGCAGAGTGCTGTGACTGTGCAGACGGGTTAATGCAGGAGGCAGGAGGAAATACTGAGGATGCTTATGTGCTTAGAAATGCCTGACTTTTCTAAGCAGAAAATGCAATTTCAATCAGAGCTGCTTTAGAGAATGAGAATTAATGATCACTGTTTCATACCATTGACAAAGCAAGCCGTACAGAAACTGAAATCTGCCCAGTGTCACCTTACCTTATACAGCTGTAGTGTTTGAAAGTGCTGGCAGCTTGTTGGCACTCCAGACACAGCTGAATAGCACCTGGGTAGTCCTCTTCCTTGGGATAAAACACAACGGAGAGCTAGTCTGGCTTTTGAAGCAAACACTGCAACACCCATTTGTGCTTGCACGCTTATGTATAAACATTAAGAACACAATATTTTGCCTCTTGGGTCTATAGAGTAAAGCCAGAGGAAACGAGTGAGGGTCCATCACAAACTTCAATTAGAATTAGAAACAGAGAACATGTCAGCAACACCTGAAACCACTGTGTGTTACATGACCTTATGCAAACGATTTGCTGGTTTGTTTCCTTATGCATTCATACAAAACATACCAGAATATTTTTATTACAAAAAAACTAATGTCTTCCCAGTTAACTGTCAAACCTTTGTTAATACAGTTCCAGCCCTTAATGTTTAAAAACCACTGGCAAATTCTGATAATCCGACATTAAGGTCTGGACTAGATGATCTCCAGAGGTCCCTTCCAATCCCATGTCGTTCTGTGATTCTGTGGATACAACACCCACAGCCCTGTCTCAAGACAGCTCTACAGTAGAGAGGGAAGAGCTGATTCCCTCTGCAACAACACACAGCACAGAGATGAAAAGCTGATCATGGTAAGGGGCTTGCTGACCAGAAGGCAATGGCCATGCAGCCTGTTAACGCATTCTTGCTTGATAAAGAATAAGCAAGTGTGCTGAGACAAGGTGTATTACCCAAGATGGAATTAAACTCAAAGAATCTTAAGAGTTACAATTATTAAGGCTAAATTTCCAAATTCAGTAATTAGGGATTATCATAATGATATTCCATCCAGTATTAGCTGTAAATATTTGGCAAACTAGTAAGTCAAAATAGTTTCAATACATGATACAAATGTAGTTGTCAGTAAAAGCCTGAAGCTGTGTTTCATACAACTTAATCATCTTAAGACGAGATCTTATTTTTGCTCTGTTTGGTATCTACTGCATTTTTAGGCAGTATCTATACTGTGTTAGCAGAATTTTCAGTGCTATGGCCCACGTGCTGCAATGTTCTCTACAGCTGACTATTAAAAAGCCAACCCCATGAACACAGAGAGAAGCTACTACACTTACAAATAAAATACCAAGGAGGGAGCCCAAATACAAATGTGTACAGTGATAGAGCAGGAGAAGTACTTTATCCAGACCCTGTATATCAACACTCAGCTGCATCTCACCTTCTTTGTTCTCCCAGATACCAAGCTAAGGCCAGCAAAGCAGTGTCAGCGGAGGGCAGGGAGGGGAGTGATGGCTGCGCAGCACTCTCACTGAACTGTCTCAAGCCTCAGAGCTCAGGTCCAAAGGCAGGATTAGTCTGACAGAGAATATTCCCCCCGGCATGGGGGCTATCTAATGTGATGTGACGTATTTCTCACGTTTAAAATAAGAATAAAAATATAACCCCACCACACGGACACACCCATACCCTGTTTGCAAGAGGAAGGAAAGAAGGAACTAAATTAAGAAGACTGATAAAAAAACCAAAAGTAGACTTAGAACAGCTTCAAATTATAAGTCTGGCAGGGACTTACCTCCAACATCTCACTCAAACGCACATCAGTTCTTTGCTAAAAATAAAAAAAAAACAAACCAAAATCACAGTGATTAACTGCACAGAAATGAAGAAAAACACTTTGCCACTGAACAAAACCAACTGTACATACCAGTGTTTTTATTGTTCTCAGGGACTTCAGCAGCCCAATGAGCAACTGTCGTTTCCTTTGGTTTGCAAGAAGCCCCAGGCTGGTTTGTGTAAAGCCTTCCTTTGCTATATTCAGGTGTCTGCAAAAGTTAAAAATGAACATAATCCTCAATGATAAAACAAAACTTATTTCTAATAAATTCTAATGCATCCAAAATACATGCCAGAAAGTAATGTTGTCAGCATTGTTAGGGAAACCCAGAAACTGAGGTGATACAAACAGACTAAGAATGTACGGTTTCCCTCATCGTCTGTGGATCAATGGTGCATCTCAAGACGTTCCTGATTTAAAGACATCTCCCAACGGAAAAGCGAGAGCTGCAGGAGAGAAAGCAGCTGGTATTTCTTTCAGTATCTTTAACTACTGCTGTTAATTCCATCCAGCAGATAAACTGGAAATATCATCAGCAACCAAACCTCCTGGGTCTACAGATTTCTTCTGAAATACTTCCCCCTGCTCCCAATCTCTGCCCTGATTTCAGCAAGATACCTTCTTCCATTTGTGCAAATGACAGCTGCCAGCTGCAGGCCACTCTGCAAGGAGGTGACACGTTCCAGTTCCTACAGAGAGACAACAGGATAAATAAATACACCAAAGGTCCCGCTCCACACCAGGCAAGACTAGTGATGAGCAAGTTTCTGCTGAGATGTTATACTGACTTTGTAGAGTTACTTCATATGTTATTTGTTTCATCACTTTATATAGGCTAAGCACTGCAATGTAACATTAATATAAAGTACCTTTTAAAATACTATTTTCTTTTGAAGGAAGATACTTTAAAACCATTTTAATTGCAGTGGGACCCTCCACATTTATTTACTGCATGTTTAGCCTAAGAATCACTATACCATTAATGCCCCATAGCACAATGATCAAAGCTTCAGGGACAGAAGAACAGGGTCTAATTTGCAATAATATGTCAGAGAGCAGCAAAACAACAAAAAAAATCATGTTTCACATAGCATTTTCTTGTTTAGAAGCACTTGTGGTTTACCAGTTTAATAGATGTCACTTGATGATGAATGCTAATTGTATCCTGTTGAATTTCAGCTGAACACTCTTCAGCACAGGTGACCTGAATTTAGCTTGATTTTGACTTTGTGAAGTGCCTAACATAATCTCAACCCCTTTAGAAAATACAATGTTTAATATAGCCATTAGGATTTCTTTTGTTTGGAACAGCACTGCTGAAAAGTGAATGCTCTCTCCACACTAAAGAAAATAAAACTTTTTTTTTTTTAAAATACTGCTCATCATATCAAAGCATCTCAAGTGTTTTCCATGGGGAGAACAGAGATTTTCACTTCAAAAACTAATCCAATTCTAAGAACATGACAAGCAAAAACAAGTTTAAAGTTTAGTTCAGCTTAAGATCAGCTCCTGGTCGATCCCCAAAGACACAAGTAATTCTGGCAAATCACTGAGCTGCTTTCCCCAAAACCCGTCCCTCCTTTACGCTAACAGTGTTGCTTTGGGGAAAAGGAGAGCTTAGTTGCAGATACGCAAAATAGCTTAAGAAACCAAATTCAAAGATTACCTTCTTCAGTACCCACTTCTCACTAAAAACACACTTTGCAAATGTCAGAGCTATTCAAAAGTTGACTGTTCCCTTTCCATGAGACAACATGTATGACAGAGTGGCTCCGTAAAGCCTCCGGGTGGAAGGGGCTGGATGGAGCACACAGGGAGAGTGCAGCCCAAGGGTGCCCAGGGACAGGGTCTGCCACCCACCACTTGGGCTAAAGACAGTTCTTCTCTTCCTTCCTAAAGACCATCTTCCACCCGTTGGTTGTTTCCAAAGCCCTTCCCTCTAAGGAGCAGGGAAAACGAGAGATGTCCTGCCCTGTGTCCGTGCAGTGCCCGTCTCAGCCCAGAGCAGTGTCAGACCAGGACCTCACACCAGGAACGGGGCACAAACCACAGGTCCCCGACACTTTCCCTTGCACAGCAGAAACAAGGTGCTCAGGAGACAGTCAGCTGCGTTTCTGCTGCTTCTAATGACCTGTCACTCTCACTGGGCACTGACCTGGAGCTGCCAGGGAACAGAGCACCCGCAGCACGTCAGGAGCTTCGTTCACGAGTCCGTGGGGAAGCGAGTCCTGTGATGCCCACCAGGAATCTCCAATAAATACACCTACTGACAGGAGTAACTGCACAAGCCTGTGCCCCTCAGTAAGACTTAATCACACAAACATGCATTTGAGAAAGGTTTTTAAAAGATTCTTACTGGCTCGACGGATTTTTAAGTGTCCCTTTGGAACATCTGAAAGAACTTCTTGGTATAAAACACGTGCGCCTCACTAAGATATTGCTGGCATAAGAATATTAACATTACACAGCAAAATGCAAGAAGTACATTCTAACAGCAGAAAAACGAGTGGTTTACTCTTCAAAAGTGACTGTTAGTTGTCTTACCTGAACATATGCAGGCTGTTTTTCGAGAATCAAGTCTGCAACTTTCTTAGATACCTTCAAAAGAAGAATATGACACATGATACATAGCAATCTCATTAAATAGGCCATCTCTATACTAAAGTTCTACAACAAGTTTGTGATTTGGTATCATTTAGCTCTCTAAGTTTTCAAATTTATTAATAAATATGCCACAAGGTAAAAAAAAACATCCTAAAAACAACTATCAGCTCTCCTCAGAAGCAAGTTAAGAAAAATGATAACAGCTCTACCTAGGAATTAGTGGGCATTTTTAAATTAATCCTTTACTTCTCTGTTTGTTAAGGAACACACTAGAATAGAAAACAGAAATAACATGGGACATGACAACTGCATACATTCTGCTTATGCTACCACTAGAGTATAAAGTGAAGTTAACCATCCACCATGGAGAAAGCTTTAAGGACACCTATCTTTCACAGTGATACTGTATTGAATAAAATCTGTGTCAAAATGAATAAATATTCACCCTGTGCACATTATACCCTTTCTTTAGGACACAGAACATGCTTATTTTAAAATTTTTGCCATTGCTCTGAACTAACAGTAAGTGGAACGCTACTGAGAGCTGCTCTCTGTACTGAATTCAAAAATGGGCAGTGCTGCCTTGATCAGTCCCTCGTGCACAAACACACATGCTTTAAAAAAACAGGAGACCCAATGGTAACAGTCATACAAACACAAGCTTGGGAATAATGTGTTTTATTTTGTTTTTCAGCAGGGACTACAAATATTTAAGATGAAACAGTTTCAAACATTTCAAGGAAATCACTGGTATTGCTCTATATTCTTCTTGGGGAACAGTACTCCCAGAAATGAAAGCTAAATAGAAGTGGTGATGACAGCCAGCTCACAATGCACCCCTGGGAATGAGAGCTAAGGAGGCTGTTATGGATTTGAGTGCTTAGTCAGACACAGCACGCGGCCGGGATCCTCCATCGGCATCCCCGAACACACCGACAGTGGCTCCAGCAGGTCCCTTCCCACCCCCTGGAAGAGGCCCCGCACACAAACGGCCTCAGAAGCACTCTGGTACCACCAGCCAGGAAGCTGGACAAGGGACATGTATCTCTGCTTTCCTCCTTCCACATTAAAAAATGGTCAGAATCACCAAACAATTTCAAAACCTCTTAGTTGTTCAATAAATAATAAAGTTTTCTTCTGCAGGGCAGCTGAACTACCAGACACACTCCAGAGCAGGCTGGGGACAGAAAAGGAGGTCCTCAGGCCAAAAGCTACCCAAGCCTACAGGTTCTCAAGGAGTTCTGTTCACTGCACAGTCTATGTCCTGTGAAATTTTCACCTCCCTCTTCCAACCTGTTCCTGCCACAGCACCGTACCTGGAAAGCTCCAGGGCAGGGCTGTACCTGCAAGCCCTGTGTGCCTGTACCATGGTGTCCCTGGTACAAATCTCTTTGAATTTTCACTGCCAGAGGGATTCATCAAGCAGTGCAGGTGAATAAAGCATGAGTTTCATTGAGTTTCATTTGCAGTTTTTATTCTGCTTTTTTTTGTTTGTTTGTTCTGCAGGTTCTGGATTACCCTTCACTAATAACAACCCCAACACTACCATCACCTGCTGCAAACAATTATTTTTTCTCTCCCTGAACTTAGTGATACTACTTCCACGCTATTCCCTTCCCTTTCTTTTGGAGGAGCGATATTACCCCAGATTACTTCCAGTCATTTTCAAATCACCACACCCCTTTTGGAATCTTCCATACAATTGTGTTGATTTATTTTTTAATTCCTAACTTTTGGAATCCAGAATTGCAATTGTTGGCAATGAATGTGGCTGCAGTTATCAATGCCTACAAACAACGTTCTTTGAGGGAACCAAACAATTTCCTCCAAAACAATTTTCTCTTTCCTAATCACATCAGGAAAATATATTTAATCTCCTGAAGAAAAAAAAAAATACAGCTGAGGATAGCAGTCTACTAATTAAAATGAAGCCAAACAAACGTAGGCTAAAAACCCTCCTAATTCAAATTGTCTCTACCGAGATGATTAGACAAATTAAAGCTGACAGGATACGCATATTAAAGAAGTCTTGAGTGAGCTGGAACCCATCCAATGGAATTGAAAACTGTAGTGGGGAAATTACAGAAAATATGGAGCCTATAGTGAACCCAAAACCAAAGGTATGACCAAAATCAGCTGTGCAGAAGTAGGTGGTAACAGTCATTGAGAAGTGAAAGATCAGAGCTCCCTTACCTACCGTTCACATTCATTTGAGTGCTTGTGTTACAAAAATGTAGAAGTTGGAATTATTTCTAAACCACTGTTGTAAATTTCTGTGTCAGCTACAGACACGGGCACTGGAGTGAAAAAGGCACTATTTTCAAAAGCAGAGACATTATGTGATCTGTCAACAGGCTTCTTGAGTCCTCAGTCTAACAACCTCTTCACAATCAGCATTAAAATATTTTTAGGACTGAACTAATGCTGTACAATGTTCCGCAGTAACATCTTCCATGAAGGACACTAATGTCCTTTGAGACAGACAGTAATCTAAAGGACATATCACAAGAGAAATGGACAATATTGAGACAAGAGAAGGAAACATGCAATGGTCTCTCATGCTGCACCTGGAAATACAACACAAGGACATAATATACAACATACAAGGAATTTTGGCAACTTGGCACATGCCCAAGGCAGAAAACAAACGCAAGCACCAATTCCTTCCCACAGCAGAATCACATTTAGACCAGACCAAGGAAGACACAATCCCCCACAAGGCCCAATCCTGACTAGGAGGGGAAGAATCCAACACGTTTCTTATCAAAAGTTTTGTCTTTGAGAGTTTTCGGTTGGTTTTTTTGTTTGTTTTTTTTTCTAAAAGACAGACACATATGGGCATCTCCTGGAAACCCAGTGCCCAGTTCTCCCCCTGCTATTCCCATTCCCCGTTGGGGCACACGGCTGTGCAATGACACTGTGCCCACAGCCAGGACACTGACACTAGGGTTATCTCAGTAAAGCTGCCTCAGCCTTGAGAGCATTTCCTGCCAAAACCACGGCACCACCAGCTGTCCTCCTCAACTTTAAAAACCAAAAACCACCACAGAACCAAAACCTGCCACCCACTTTCAACTTCTTCCCTTAAACCTCTAGGTGAGAAACAGGGAATATTCATTTGCTCAACCTCTCACTGATACTTCACAAAATTTCATACGTTTATTCCGGACAAAGCAATCTTCAGCAGAGGGAACTTGTTCTCCATGTATTGTTAACGATCCAATATTCTCCTTTGGTACATTTCATTCATTTAAAGACATGAATTAGGATTATTACTGTTATTTTACTTGCAGATACTCTCCAAATGCCACAGTTAATACATTCATTCCCTGTACCATACTATTCGTCTTTAAAAGAGCAATGAATCAATAATTAATGTATGAACAGAACATAAAAAAGCCTGAAACGTAACAAGCACCCTTCAGAAGCTGCAGCTCTGACTTCCCCCCATAAATTACAGTTATTACTCACATCTCATCTGTTTTATTACATAATAACTCTCTAGCAGCATTCACTAGAAACCCTAGTGGACTGTTAACAAATCCGCAAATGAAAAATAAAGAGAAAATAACAACTCTAAAGAAAGAAGGTTTAAAACATTCTATGTTTTACATTGCCAGAAATCCCTCAAAAAAAAAGAGATACTACCACATTATTCAGCGCCATGTTGAACATTACTTCTCTTGCAATACACAGGAAACATTGAACTTTCAGAAAATTGGGTTTCTAAAGAAACAGCACATTTGCTCCTTGTTACAATACTTACCACCAAGACTTATGTCCATGATTTCATAAGATTATATGATTTACTGACATGATTTTCCATTATAAAAGCACACGATATAATATTAAAAGAAAAAATGTGTAATATCTAATGAGTTTAAGAAATCAAAACTTTTTCAGTTCCACCTCTGGCTCTACTTACAGACAAGACCACAAATTGCCTGAGGGCACAGAAGAAACTACTTACAGCAGCTTGCTGTTGTTTTAATTTGTCTCTGTATTCTTCCAATTCCTGAAGACTAAGTACTGGAGGAAGCCTCTGCATGTAAACAACAAATTAAATACAGTGAGAAATTAAAGACCTTTAAATACACGTGTAGTATTAACTAACCAATCAATTCCATTAAAGAAACATTCTTATTGCTTCTGCATTTCAATCTGCAGAATTAATCCATTACTTCAAATGATGGATACCAAAATAAATCAGTGTTAAACACAATGTATTATCAGAAGTACATCATATAATATCATAATTACCTCAGTCACCTTATTTTAAGCCATATATGTAAACACACAACCCCCTTAATCATTGAAATTATTATGCCTCAGTCAGTTAGCTAAAAAAACTATTGAAAATGTACAACCGATTTTTTTTTCCTCCAACTATTTTGGCTTTTTCACAATAGTTTAACTGACAAAGTGCTTGTTAGCACAACCGATATTAATTCTACCACATTAAAAACAGTGACTCGATACCCAAACTTCATGCTAGAAGCTGCACCCAACCGCAAGGTAAGGCAGGAGGGTACAATTTTGCATTAAAAACAAAAAATAGCTCATTGAAACAAGTGTAGTTTTGACCCTCATTTTTTGTTATATTACTGTCTTTTCTTTTAAGAAGACAACTTACCTCTAACTCATACTTCACAATGTCAAAGGAATCATTGGAAAAATAAACTTCTTCAATGCTATTAATTATTTCTTGCTGAGCTTGAGGATCAGTTGGTTCTTCACGTAGTTCTCTGAGGTCCTCCTTCACAAAACAAAAAAGGATTTCCATGATGTAATATTGCATCCTAACAAGAACAATGTTTTACTAAAACAAGTATTTTTCAGAAGCCATTTACAACAATAGTAAAAGAAGCAAAGGCAAAGAACAGAAATATCAGCACACAGTGGCTTGTTCTTGCCACTACAAATAGCAGGAGGTTTAAAACTTCTCAAAGAACACAGTGCAGACATTGCAGATCACTTAAACACTTCTTCATCAATCCATTCACAAACGCAGGTTGAGTCCACAGTTTTTCCCTCCTTAAGTTTAGAAATTCCCATAATAACTAAAGATAAATTGGCAGGCTATTTCTCAAGAAACAAAACAAAAAAAAAACCAGAAAAACATAACAAATAAAACTTGAAATTATTAAATCAGAAGAACCATCTTTGTATATATAAAGCAGACACTGTCACTACAAATGCGTAACTTTTCAATTCAGCCCTGAGAATTCACATTTATTAAAGTCATACCATTAAATACTTGATTTTTTTACAGGCAAAACCACAACATATCTTCCGTCTTTGCACAAAATTAAGAGATCTCAGATTTTTCTCAACTAGCAGGGTGGTCTCGGCAGAGATGTGCTGTCAGCTTTCTGAAAGCCAATATTGAAGAGGTGAGTGTCCCCTTCCGTGCAGTCGCCATCTCCTCTGGAAGTTCTTCTCAACAGCCCAGTTGTTCCCACCGGTTACCACGAGCCGAGGACTGAGCCTGAAGCTCCTCTTCCCCTCCTGCACTGGGCATTTCAGTTAATACCAGCCCTCTCCTGGAGGGTCTTCCCACCAAAGAAATAAAAATTCTTTATCAGAGACTCCACAGGGAGAAGTGCCAGGGTATTCTTTCACCAAAAATCCAGATTAAATGTTTCAAATTGCTCAATATTGGCATTTAAGCCTGGTGAAGCGATCCAGCAGACTGAAGTGTCCCATAAAGATCCTAAGCCTCCCCCCAACACCGAGTGGTCACAGTGGGACGAGGTGCTGATATTTTCATCACCAAGAGGCACCAGATCTTACACTGACTGACTAAACCACCACTGACTTGCTTGTTTTGCACATCAGCTGAAATCAGGTCGACGTTATGAGGCACAGCGATATTTTAAGTACAAAGCAAGGTGCTGTTTCTCTGGGCAAGTGGAGGCAGCCAAAGGCTGACGAGCGAGCAGTTTGGAAGAGCATCAGAAAAAACAAATAATAATGATAATAAAATACCTCTGGCAGGACCGAGAGAGAGCACGGCGGTGCTCGGGCGCCACCCACCGGGCACAGCCACCGCTGGAAAGAGGCTTCGGGCTGATGTGGCAGAGCATGATGCAGAAAAAGCCACTGAGCAGACACCTCCTTCCTCCCCCAGGGAGGCCCCAAGCGCTTAAGATCTCCATGGAAGGGCTCCAGGAGTCCCAGCACTTCTCGCCAGCAGCCGCAGAAACCCACCTCACACCAACAGGGGAAGGCAGCAACCACCCACCCACCCAACACGGCCGGCTGGAGGTGTGCAAGGGAAGGAGCCATGGACAAGAGAGTGTGCCAACAGACATGAGATAAATGCAGGAAAAACAGACAGAAATGACAATATAGCAACAACAAATAACAATAACAAAGCAAAGCAAGGCTATTCATAGAATCACTGAATGGTTTGGATTGGAAGAACCTTAAAGCCCCCCCAGTGCCACCCCCTGCCCTGGGCAGGGACACCTCCCGCCAGACCAGGTTGCTCCAAGCCCCCTCCAACCTGCCCTTGAACCCCTCCAGGGATGGGGCAGCCACAGCTTCTCGGGGCAACCTGGGCCAGGCTCTCACCACCCTCACAGCAAAGAACTTCTTCCCCACATCTCAGCTCCATCTCCCCTCTTTCAGCGTCAAACCCTTCCCCCTTGTCCTATGGCTCCCCTCCCTGATCCAGAGTCCCTCCCCATCTCTCCTGGAGCCCCTTGAGGGACTGGAAGGGGCTCTAAGGTCTCCCCAGAGCCTTCTCTTCTCCAGGCTGAACGCCCCAACTCTCTCAGCCTGTGCTCACAGCAGAGGGGCTCCAGCCCTCCCAGTATCTCTGTGGCCTCCTCTGGCCCCGCTCCAACAGGTCCATGTCCTTCCTCTGCTGAAGCCTCCAGAGCTGGACACAGTACTCCAGGTGGGTTCAATTCTCAGTACTCCAGGTGGGTTCAATTCTATTAATATTCTATGTCTATTCTTTAGAAAAACTCACATTTCAGCTTTGCTAAGAGCATGAGAAACAGAGGAGAGGAGGACAGGTTATGGGGGATGAGAATGAAAAGACTCCAGAAAAATAGCCCCTATAGAGTCTTTTTCAACTTTTTAATCCACAGTTTCAAAGTTTCCATCACCTCCTACATAACACCTGCATGGCTTGTGGGGACAAACATGCACTTGTGTTTTTTTGTCAGTACCATGCTTTTTGCCATGATCATACTTCCATAGAAAGACAATTTATATGCCAAATGTACTTCCTTTCAGGTTACGATTAGCAAAACCCCAAGCAGCAGGTCTCTCTTTCATAGTGCCACCTGAACAGATCAGTGAGAGACAGTTCCTGAGGAGAGAACAAAAAGCAAAAAGAAACACAAAGAGAAAAAAAGCAAAAACCTGTATGTCTGAGAGCTTCCCGTACTTGAAGAAGCCATTGCTAAATAAAACCCAGTGTTTGCCTCCACACACTTCTCACATCACTTACGGAAACAGAAGTTTACAGGCCCAGGAGCCGGCGGCCAACTCCTTGAAATACATTTCAGAAGAGTCATTTCATTGCAGACTCACCTGAAAAGCAGCTCAGCAGGTTCAGGTTGATGATGACTTACCCAGCTACTGCCCAGTGCGTCCCACTCCCACTCTGCCCATGCTCTACAACGCCGAAGCCAGCACTCCCTGCTGAGGGAAGCATCACTGGGAGGGCACTGCAGCAAACACCCCTGCATTCCAGCCACCACCAACCCAAAAACTTAGGAGGCAAAGACACTGTCTGCTCAGGGCTCAACAGAGCCAATCAGCAGGTACACTGCAACTTCTCACCACCGTGAAATGAATAACGTATGAAAGTATTTTTATATCTATATACAATCTTTTATCTATAAGGATAAAAGGATATATTTATATATTATATACATCTCATAATGTATATATAACTGTATCTATCAACTCACCTCAAAACTACTTCCCTGCCCCAGCAAATCCACAGCGAGGGCAGGCAGTCCCACAGGAAGTCTGTGGCATTCCCTTATCTGTCACGTGAAATGCCCAGAACCTTCTTCTGATCTTTCCTTCTTCAGTATGCACACAGAGTACTTACTAAAAAGCCCTCACTCTACCAAACCAAACGTTACGCTAGAATACAATTCTCCCCATGGAGAGAACAGCAGAGCCTGATGCCCAGAACGGACACTGGTCACAGCACCCTCAGGGCACTCCTGAGCAGCACGGGGCTGCTGGGGAAATAGGGACCACAGCTCTGGATCTATAGGAAAAGCATTAAGAAATAAACCCTCAGTGTTGTTTACCACCATCAACCACAAAGTCAACTAACATTTGTATATTGCATAGGAGCTGATTATCTTCAAGATAAACATAACCTAATTCAACGTCAACTCATTATTAACCCCACACACTGGAATTCAAGTATACAAAACAGCCACCTCACCCTTTTGTGACAGAATCTACTCAACGGAAATGGGAAACAACGCTGACAAGGACAGAATGGTTCAAAAAAGCATTACAGTTCCCCAGGGTGATGAGGGCACATGGATGAAGTAAGATATCTCAATCAAAAAACATATGAAATCTCTCTGCAGACAACTCTCTCTTCCAGAAATCCTGCCTCGCTGTTCAGATTTGCCTTATCTACACGCTGTATCACAGACTTCAACTACTATATGCTTATTTCTCCGTGTGACCAAGTTGGCAGTGTGAGTCTGCATTACAAGTAAAACAAGTTTTCTGGTGATTTGCCCTCATATGACAGAAGTAAACTGAAATTTTGCAAGACAGTTTCAGAACTTACTGAAGTACTGGTTAACGTGCATGCACACACTCGGAGATGTATGTAAAATATCCAGGTACCCAATAATTTCATTGTTTAAAAATAAGAAGTTGAGGAGCACAGTCATCACTTAAACACCCTTGCCAGCAAGCCACCAGTCAGCAAACCAACAACTTGCAGGTATCAAGACCCAAATGAATTTTGCTGGTTCTCCCCTGGAGGGATGCAACGTCAGCACGTGCTTCTCCCTGTGCTCCGTATTTCCCATTTGGCCTCCAAAGGAGCGTGAGAGCCCTCCATGGGTTCTGGCCCTAGAGGTAGCATGAAGCTACCATGCGGAAGCGTGAAGGCAAAACTGCAGCATCATAACCATTCCATCATCAACACAGTATTTGGCTGCTGAGCTTGAGACTTTTGTTCTTCAAGATATACCCAAAATTCATTATTAAAGTGTGGCAGCAGAGAGCAATGTTGGCTTTCAGACAGCAGTTCTGCAGCACAATGAAATCACACTTTTACTCATTGCCTTTAAAAACCTGCATTTTCCTTTAGTCTTTACTTTTGCATACAGAAGTTAATTCTCTTTTCCAGACTTGTCCATTGCTATAAAATAATTATTGAGGGGCATTAGCTTACATTCAGCAAAGCTGCTTGATCCTCTGATTATAACGTAATTCTGATTTGTGACGTCAGTCTGTTGCCATGGCACTGAACATAGCTTCAGTTCAAAACAAATCCCGATATCCAAAACCTTAATGACTTTCAACTCCTGTGCAGAACCCAAGCCTAATCTCCCCGACAGTGACTCACACCACAATCTCCCCCTCACCGCTCCAAAAAAAACCTCTTTTCAAGAAGGGTATGTGAATCTCTGCTTGCAGGGACAGCAGAGACATCACAGTGCCTCACCCGACGTCCCAGAATTTGAAAAGTAAAATCCTACCATAAAGGTTTCAGCAAAGTTAAGGAGCCATGACAATACAAATCCTTCCCCCAAAAGGAAAGGGCTGGCAGTAAAGTCACCATGACCAATGACTTGGGGCCGTAGCCAGGAGTTAAACTGAGCAAAACACAGTCATTTTACTCAATCCTTATGACCTAATGCTTTCATTTAACTGTGTAGTCGTGTAACTTTATTAATAGAGTTTCACTCAATACAGCTTGTTGAGAAGGAAAAGGTTAATGTAAGCACCTCAGAATTTTGAGAAGTATGCACCAAAAAACATTTTGGAAGGGAAAAAAAACAACATTAGAAGACTGGAAAATATAACAGTCTTATTCTGTGGCACAGAAGAGAATAATACTGCAATTTTATCAGCTTTAAAAGAAAATAATCAGGTGACAAGTTCTAACATTGATGCAATCGTGTCTTTTTAGGCACAGAACTCATGAGACTGTGTTTGCAGAACAGCTGCAGATGACGCTTTCACAGTGCAAATGTTTGACACAAGTGTATGAAAATCCTACAAATTATTGCCAGGTATTTGCTTTCCCATTGTTATTGATACAAGGGGTAGGCTTACGGGACACACAACATCTAACCATTAAAGACGGGAAATCCAGCCAAAGTACCCTCCACCTTCTTCTACCCGGAGAGCCAACTTGCCCAAAAAGACAGTTTGAAACTGGATACTCAGAGGGTGGCAGGAATCTGCAATTTAGAAATCTAAGGCCTGGAGATGAGACTGTTCCTTTAACATCAGTGCAACTGAATATGTTCGCTCCTTGAAATCAATATATTGGCTGCTGTTTAAGAGAGTACTAGGTACCAATTCAGAGACTGTTACTTAAATATACAGTAATGATTTTCTGGTCTGCCTCAGCACAAGCAAC